GTTCAAATCTAGATGGTGCTGCAGAGGAGGGACCTTCAGTCCTATGAAGGCGTCGCGTACTCTCCACTTGTTGGTTGGCCCACCGTTAGAGCCGGTCTTTTCTTGCAGCTGCACATGCTATGGGATCGAGACAAGTTGATTTTACTCTTGCTTTCTGTCAATCCTCAGCCTTGTCGACAGCCATGTACTGGAATTGCCTCAGTACTATCGTACCCAAAGGATATGAAGGACAGGACTTGTTTTGAAACTTGACAAATCATCTATGGGCAGACCGATTCACCTAAATATTTTATGAGCATCTATGTCGCGGGATGATCCAACTTGTTTTCGAAACATCGGCAGCAGAACCATGTTTGTTTATTCATCAGGAGCATACAATCCATGGTATTAAATTATTGTGATGACCAAATCTGGCTCAGTCCAGACAATGATCTGATTGAGTCCTATGTTGGGCAGCTCCAGAAACTTGGATTGTACTCTCACCATGGAAGAAAAGGTGACATCTTTGGATTCCTCGGCATTAATTTTGAAAGACAGGGAGACAATGTTGAGCTTACTCAAAAAGGGCTCATCAATAAAGTCATCGAATTATACTGGTATGTCTGACGCTAGCAAGAAGCTTTCTCCTGCCGCCACCGATCCTCTCGGAGCTGACAAACTGGGGCCCCATTTGAAGAAGAGTGGAGCTATCCAGCTGCAGTTGGGATGCTTCTTTATATTGCGTCAAACACTCGCCCAGACATCACATTTAGTGTGCACCAGGTGGCACGATTCAGTCACAATCCCAGGCATTCCATGCTCAAGCAATTAAACGTATTATTCGGTATCTGATTGGCACAAGTGACAAAGGCATTTGTTTTAGCCCTAAACTTGATCAGGGACTTGACTGTTGGGTCGATGCTGACTTCGCCGGATTGTATGGATATGAGGATGAACAGGATCCTGTGTCCGTCAAGTCTCGCACTGGATTTGTCCTGACTCTGTTGGGTGCCCTATTATCTGGTCGAGCAAGCTACAGACTGATATTACTTTGAGCTCCACTGCTGCTGAGTATGTTGCCTTCAGCATGTCAATGAGGAGCTGCTTCCTATGGAGCTTTGCTCAAGGAAATTGGTAGCAAACTGAATATGCCGGTAATTACTGATAGTCTGTGCGCTCTACAGTGTTCGAAGACAACCAAGGTTCTGTTCTCTTGTGAATGTTCCCAAAATGTCTCGCGCAACAAGTATTTGGCATTGAAGTACCACTTCTTCAGTTCCAATATCGGGGAGTCGAAGGGCATCGGGCTAAGTATATTCCGACTCTTGAACAACGGGCCGACATTTCACTAAGGGTCTTCCGGCTCCACAGTTTGCTGTCATTCGGAAGCTCCTCATGGGATGGTAATTTCCTCAGCACTTTGCTGGGGACTCTCTCCTATCGTTTCTTGCTCCAGCTTCATTTCAGCTGTAAGGGAGTGCGACGGGATACAGCTTACAATTCAGCTTTACAGCTTTACAATTAGCAGGCTTATTCTAGAAAATAATCAATAACTGCTCACTTATTTGGAAATACAAACTTTACATCTCTTAGATCCCTAGATTAATCAATGCACAATGGTATTGTCGCAATGGGGTTATCTGCTTCTACACTGAAACCTTTCTGCCGAGGTTACACAGCTCCGCTGGCTTATTTTTCCTGCTACGGTGGTCCCAGCAGGTATAAGCGTAGGGTTAGAATACAAATAAGTCAGCAAAAACTAAGTAAGTATCCTAGCTAGGATGGTGCAAACCAGCTAAAGCAATTTACATCCATCCTAGTAGGGGGATCTGCTTCTACCAGGAAAAACTCTAAAGCCAGCGAAAGCTATATAACTAGTATTCTAGCTAGCTAGGGGTGTCTGCTTCTAGCTTGCTATGGGAATCTGCTTCTAGCTAGGGGGGATTTTCTTCTAGCTAGCTAAGCACAAGTTAAGCACTAGCTAAGCACTAGAGGTGTCTGCTTCTAGTTAGCTAGCTATAGGGGTACATGTATCTGCTTCTGCACTGAAACCTTTCTGCCGAGGTTACACAGCTCCGCTGGCTTAATCCTTTTCGATTTTTTACATGAAGTTGCGTCTAAAAACCCTTTTGGAGCCAAATTCGACAGAAATTCGAATTCCTCTCATCAAGTTTCATTGTTCTCCTCCGAGTGATGCACATGAGCATTTCATCATTGTTGTTGGTTGTCAATTGTTGTGCGTGTGAATCAAATCTTGACTGCGCCTCTGGTAGTATCTGAGTTCATTTGTCTAATAAGGAGTAGCAGGAGAAGGGTCGGTCCTTGAGCTGGATTGATTAGCTATTGATTGACTAGCATCGAAAAGAAAGAGTCGAGTCAGTTTGGAGTTCACTTGGTGCTTCCCCGAAAAACACGAACCAAACAACACCAACAATTCACAGGTTTGCCACGCCCACATTCTTGATTGGAACCATTGCTTGGAGCAAGATGTCGCAAATTGTAGACGAAAAGAAGACAGAGGATGAAGAGCTCAATTCAGTCCTCCACGGCCAACCCAAGAGTAACCCCACTTCATCCACCGAAGCGTCATTGCTGACGTCCCTGTCAGACAATTTCAAAACCCATTTGGACCGCTCCATGGAGCAAATTCTGACAGTGATGCAACAAGAATCTTCCAAACGAACGGCACTGGAGCAGCGTCTCCATTCTCAAATTTTGCTGCAAAATGAATTCATGGTGGCCATGGAAACCAAGCTCTTGCGCCTCGAAGCCAAAGTGGAGCGCCGTGAAGCGGCCATTCGACAACAACAGAGTCTTCATCAACAGCAACACTACCAACAGGCGCAGCGAGGGTACGCATATCATCAGCATCTGGCAGTGAACCGCCTACCCACCAGCTTTACGACAATCAATGAAAATGTTGAAATGCATCCCAGTAATAATGGCAGTAGTGGTAGTGGCGACAATGTGGCGGAGGATCCTCCCAATAATTTGGCCGTCATTAGTTCCGGTGCCAGTTTGGCATCGGGAGTCACAGCGGGAAGTTTTCTCAATGACGATGGTGAAACGGCGGATGATGGCAGCGACAAGGAATCCGAAGAGGGCACGCAGGAATCAGATTCTGGCAACCCAGTGACACACCACGAAGGAATGGAAGCCAGTAATCGAGATCTTACAGCTTCGTCTTCTCAGCAGTCAAGTAAGTTAGTTGGGGTGTGAGAACTATGAAAACTGACTGTGGTGAATTGGTCTGTATTGTTTTTGGTTGTGCTCGTCTCTCTGGTTGTCTCTCATTGTTTCTTACTTTTCGTCATCATCAAAAAGCCCCCACGCAAGGATCACGTCCTCCCCGAGTCACGGTGGGCGACAATCTGGAGTCTATTCTATTGAATCCCATGATTGGTGAGACCAACACTTTTGGACTGTCCGTCCGAGCCACACGAGGACAGGACACGGACGGCAATTCATCTTTGGCTACCAGCGTGACCAACAGCACCGTCGCCAATACTGTGGTCACATCCACTACACGTGGAGACGGGAGTACCGTCAATGTGAGACGAATCCTTCCTGACGAGCCATCCGAAGTAGTCGAAATGAACACCCCCTCTCGCCGGGGACGATCTAACGCCCCGCAAGACAGTCGGGAGGAACCTCGCAGTCGATCACAGAGTCCCCTGACGGTGGCCACACATGCCAGTGAAACGTTGAGCTTTGCCAGTGCTTCTACGGTAGGAACATCGATTCGGTCGACTGTGGCAGTGGCGCCTCGCAGTGTCTATGGACGTCGGGCCATGGCAGTCCATCATCAGGCCATGGCGGGCGCCAACTTTCCACCCGAGTCGCGTCCCTTGGCGGATCGTGTCGTATCCTTTACGCCGGATCTGATTACCAACAACAACTTGCCGACACCACAATACACTGGAGAACCGGCGGATTCCATCACCGTGCCGGACGAATTGGACAATTTTTCAGAAGTGGCAGATACATTTGCCAACAGCGCTCGGGTGTGGCGGGAAGAGTATGAAGCCAGGTTGAACGCACTACAGCAACGCTGGACCAGTGATTGATTCTTGAAGATTGAATCATTCGTCATGTTTTAAGGGCAGAATAGAAGCCACCCGCTTGTCCTTCCAAAATGAAACTGTTGTATCTATTGCTCGCAAACGTGCGATGTTACCAACAGGTGTTACTACATGTATGGTAGTAAGAAGTAACTATTGGATAAAAGGCGCTATGATGAAGTTGAGGTCCAACTTAGTTACGCTTCCTCGGTTTTCCATAGTAGATACGTGTGAGCATTCTGAGTCCCCAGTTTTGCTCACACAGGAGACCTATCGTCCCTGCATCGTATTTCGACGAGCTTCCTGCTAGGCTAGCTCTCCTTACTGACACACTTCACAAGCCAACGAACCTCGTTGACAGTTTTAATTGCGCGGAGGTTGCAGCTCCCAAGACCCTTCAATGCCAAACAATTAATCAGAAAAAAGTCAAACTGTGAGTTGCTTACACCTGCATTGCAATACTGGATTGTTACATCCAGATGATCCAACACAAGAATACGGTACGAAATGACTCCCGTAGCTATTATACTTCCAAGCTGGCAGATCAAAATGAAACTTGGAAGCTGTTGGAAGCGGGTACAAGATCAATATTCCTCAAACAGCCGTGGAGAAGTCCAATAGAAGAACATGGACTTCACCAATCTTAGCATGATATTGTCGAGGATTCGCGCAAACACACACACAAGAACAGTTGCCGACGCAAGCACAGCAAGCAAACAAACAAGCAAAACGATTGTCCACGTATCTGATTGTGGTCGATACAGCAAACGCACCTTTTGATGTCCTGTGGTGGTATTCAGAGTGCTGAAAAGTTCGCTTGCTTTTTGGATGACAGAGCTCTTTTCGCAGTGCAATTCGATTGACACTAAAACAACCACCATTCAATCTTCCCCGTGTTTTCGTTTGTTGTTGCTTCCCTCTCCTTCGGCATGTTGAGAATGATAATGTTTCAGACACCATTCCTGAAGAGCCGCTTGTGTCAATGAGATGGCGGATATCACGGCAGTATCCACGCGCAAAATGGAGGGACCTAGAGCGGCTGCATGAAATCCAGCTTTGGCAAACAATTGGGCTTCTTGCTCGGTCCATCCTCGCTCCGGCCCAATAGCGATGACTGCCGAAGGTGTTTCCGTCGACAATATCTTTGTTTGTCCCATGATAATTTCACGCACGGTTGGTGGAACAGTAGTTTCATCACCGCAATCCAAGAATATCTTGACGGTAGTAGTGTTGCTATTGTCACCTTGTTGATCCGTCTTGTTTAATAACCCTTCCAAACTCTCGATAGTGGACATGGGCTGGTCCACTGCAACTTCCACTGTTGGCAGTTGTGTGTGACCTCCTTGACTCAATCCTTCCCTGAGTAGCGGCAAGTAGGTGTCTGGTTGCAACACTCGCGACTTGGCAAACTCTGGATTGGACAAGGAACCCTGTATCACGACCACCCGTTCTACCATCATGCTGGCTACCACCGGCCAAAGATACTTGAGCCGCATCGGAAAGGGCATGGCCAAAAGGAGCGTGACACGAGGCTGCGCAGTGTGGTCATCGTGGGTTTGCTGGCTGAGCGATAATTCCAACGACCCATTATCCAGCACAACAATGGTAGCCTGATACAGGTGGGCACCTTCAATCCCCACCGTCACCGTCTCACCCGTTGTCTTTCGCAAATGCTTTACAATGTGCTTGGCCCTGGCATCTCCTGCCGCCAGAACGGCCGTTCGTTCCGATGGTGCTTCATCACTGCTAGTAGATGATGAGGAAGTAGCACTAGTAGAGGTAGTAGCAGCAACAGTGAGCTCCGACGGCTGCAGCAGGATGAGGTTCATGGTCCTCTGCGGTGACGATCGTCGATGGAATTATTGCTGAGATTCGAGCTCATTGCTGAAAATCGAGCTCATTGCTGAGATTCGAGCTTATTGCTGAGATTCGAGCTCATTGCTGACAATTGAGTTCATTGCTGACAATCGAGCTCATTGCTGACAATCGAGCTCATTGCTGAAAATCAAGTTTCGAACGGAAATTTCAGCGTCTTACAATTAGTTCCATGGGAAGTGAACGCAACACCACAAGGATGAGTGGTTCTGCCTCGTACACTGTACCGGTACGTCTGTCGCGTCGCAGGGTGAAACGCATCTTAGGGTTAGGGAGACTCGACTCGCTCCGCTCGACTCGACTCGTCACTCGAAAACGTATGACCGTGGCATGTCGCCGTGGAAGATTGACAAGTCGTGGCTTGGCATACCAAGTCGTGTGTTTCGTGGTTGTCGGGAAACGTTTCCGTGGCTTGGCTTGAACAATCACTTCGGTTCCACCTATTATGGCGATGGCAATTTTGTGCTCGACTCCACTTTCTGTCAGTGCTTGAATGAATCCGAGACCCGCCGCTTGCACGCCGCTATCCTGCACAAAATCGGACATGAGTCCAGTCGGTGGGCGACGGCACAAATAATGCACCCACCGGCAAGATACGTCAATTTCTTGATTCCAAGCTCCTTCATAACATGGTCCTGGTTGTACTTGGAATTTGAAAGAAAGTCCACTGTCCAGTCCACATGATCCGAGCGGGATTCATCTAGAGCATCTTTTGATCGTAGCCGCCTTATCCCCTGTCTCCGTTTCCAGGCATTGCTATCCAGGACTGCAATGGCGGATGCGACTACTAAGCCAGCGGCAAGACAAGCAAAGGCCAACCATAGCCGCCAGTTGCTTTGGGTTGGCGTCGATTACAGCTCACTAATGATGGTATCCTCATGGCCGGCGATGAAAAACCGATTTTGGCGAGACGGGCCAACCAAGGGCGTCCTCTCGCTGGGATACTAGTAATAGCGTGACACCTTGACTCCGAGTTCGAGCCGTCAAAGTACGAGCCATCGCCGCTCTCGGCCCAGTCCGAGTCGTCTGCGTTTATCATCAACGAAACAAAGCCGTAATGCCGAGATAGCCACTCTGTTCCTTATAACACCGGCCGTCAACTTTCACAACTACTCGGTGGCATCTTCTTCCAAGATGCCAGGACCGCCGCTACCGGTACGGTACACTTACGGTACCGGTATCCTGAACCCTTAGAAGGTCATTTTGGAAGGAAAGAAAGCGAGAAGTCACCGGAAAGTTCCGAAAATCAATAAACGTTGAAGTGACTCAATGCGTGGGTATGTTAAGTAAATAAGAGACACTGAAGATAATGTCCAAGATTTCCAGCCTACTCTAGTATTCTTTATCTATCGTCACGCCCCTCTAAGAAAAACAAACAGAAGAGCACGAGATATTAAGCCACTGGTACTGTACCAGTGACTTCCAGCATACACCGGTCACCGGTACAGTCACAGTTGGAACGTTGCACGCAACGACGCAACAACTGCCTCCAACTCAAAACCACCACCACCATCCGAAGTCCGAAGTACGGTAACATCTTTCTTTCGAAGCAACGAAGCAACGCAGCGTCCAAGCAACTTTATTCTCTTTCTCTGTGTCCACGCATAATTTGTGGTTTGGCAAGCAACCAAACAGCAAGTAGAATAATAGAAAGAGTGCAACCATGGCAGGCATGGAAGTCATCGACCTTGTGCTGACCATCAACAAGGCCGACGGCCTAGCTGCCAAGGACTCCAACATGTTTGGGGTCAAGACCAAGTCGGATCCCTACATTGAACTAAGGTTGATACCACAAGGGGCCGCCACCGAAGATGAGGTTGTGGACAAGAAGGACAAGATTTTTCTGGGGAAGACAGAAACCAAATTGAAGACTCTATCGCCCAAATGGGATCAATCATTTCACATTTCCGTTCCCCGCAAAGACTTTAATGAGTTTTCCATTTTCGAATTGACCATTATGGACAAGGACATTACATCCTCCGATGACCTCATGGGAGTGGTGCCCGTCCATGTACCTGTGGGTCGATGGGGAACCTTTACCAAATGGTACGGAGTCCCAGCCTCTTCGGCCGGTGGAGAAGAAGCTACGGGACGTGTCCAGTGTACCATGTCGGTCGAACACAGCCACAAAACTCCCGACCAAATCAAGGCCGCCAACGAGGCCACTGAAGCTGGTATGGGGAACAACGACAAATCACGGGAACTTCCAGAGCTGGCCGGTGGAAAGGTGGAAGTCATCAATCTCAAGCTCACTGTCAAAAGAGCAGCAGGACTGGCGGCCATGGACAAGAATATTATTGGTATGAAAACCAAGTCCGATCCCTACATTGAAGTCAGATTGTGTCCCAAAGGTCCCGGTGGAGGACCACAAAGCAAAGTGTTGCTGGGAAAAACAGAAACCAAAATGGAAACCTTGAATCCATCCTACAACCAGGTATTTGAGGCTCCTCCCCTGTCACTCAAGAGCTTTGGTGACACTGCCAGTTTTGAACTCACCATTATGGACTACGATGAAAATGGTGAAGATGATCTCATGGGAATGGTCACAGTCCCCATCAAATTGGACAAATCGGGAAGCAGCACCAAATGGTATGACGTACCCAAAGACTCAGGAGAAGGGGGAAAGGCTTCCGGAAAGGTACAATGCATGCTTTCCGTTTCCAAGGATATCCAATCCTCTGCATGTACGGCTGATACCGAGGTGAAATTAAAGGCGGCATTGGCAGGCAAGTCCAAGCCCACGGGACCACCACCTCCCAGGACCTCTGTGACCAAGAGGACATCCATCCGGACTTCGGACTCGACGACCAAAACTGCTATTCAAGAGTCGCTGAGACGAAATCCCGTCGTAGCGCCAATGCCTAAACCACCGACAAGAGTGGCAGAGCCAAGAGCCAGGTCCTCGTCGCTACCGCAGCAACCAGCAGTAGCAGGCGAGCCAGTCTTGTGTCGGGAGTCGGAACACGGCCCCGCCCTTCAAAGATCTTCTACTGCACCTGTCAGTAGTAGCAAGTGCCCGTTTTGTGAAAAGGGCAATCATAGCAAGAAGGATTGCCCAGAATGGCTGGAGTTTCAGGCATTCAAAAAACAAAAAGAAAAGGAGCGACAGGAGGAGGAAGAACGCCGCCGAAAAAAAGTGCTCAGTGTCAAAGATCGATTGGCTAAACGGACATCATCCGTGGGCAGTGGTGAGCGACAGGCACCCAAGCGCCAATCATCGCTGCGTGTTCGCAGATCATCATCATCGGTCGAGGACGACGACTTGAGGAGATCTTCCCACAGCAGCCGAAAAACCCCTTCGCAAAAAGGCAGTATTAGGGTGTCGTCCGAATCCTCGCGCAGGTCTTCCAAGGATGGAGAAAGGGGTGTCAAGAGGGCGTCGTCCATGCGCTTGAAACGCAAAAGCAGCATGGAAGGTTCTTCGAAAAGTAGCGACAAGGGAGGAGAGCGCCGTAGCAATGGTGTCAAACGGACCAATTCCATGAAGAGAAGCAGTCACGGCGAGGAAAAGAAGGAAGGACGCATCAAGAGAACGGCTAGTCGTGGCGAAGGTGGTGAAAAGAAGGAGGTAGATCGTCGCATCAGGAGGACCTCCAGTTTTGACGATGCCGGTGACGCAAAAGAGAGAGAACCTCGCGTCAAGAGAAAAAACTGTGGCAAAAAGAGTCTTACTGGCGAACGAACCAGCTCTACAAGTTCGAGAAAACACAAACAGCGACCCGAAGGAACAAAGCATTCTCCTCCTCCATCCCCCTCCAAGGAAGAGAAGGAGAAGAACGATCCATCCAATTCGCCGTCCGAGACGAAGAGTAGTCCACCCGACGTCGTGTCGGAAAGCGAAAGCTGTAGCAGTGAGGAACTCGAAAACGAGGCAACCATCAAGTGGTAGCCGTGCCGTACGGTTGTAGATTGACTTTTATGATGTTGTAGATCGAGTTGGCCTTTAGGATAACAACCGCGGAATGGATAGAGCATTGCGATAACAATATAATGACTTTTAGAAGAACTGTTTGAACATGGCGTTGCGCACTTTGCCTTCTTTCAGTCCTTGGGCAATCTTCGCCGCACCCTTGCCCAGTGGTCCCTTCCCAAACATGGAAAAAAGCTTATTGAAATTGAACTTATCTTCGATCTCCATTTGTGTGTACTCTCCATTTGCTATAAAGACGTACGGGAGATCAAGCACTGTTCCGCTGTGGCAACAGTCCATCTACCGAACGGGTTCCGCACAGCCGGATTAGTTGTGCGATTGCATGATTCATGGCTGTGACCCAGAAGATGAAGCAGTACATGACAACAACAGAACTTACCAAAGCCACGACATGAACTCCAGCGGGAAGGCCCTTCACAATAATGTCATACAAATCATCATCCCGAATCATACCCGCAGTCTGGAAATCCAAGGGAACCAAAGCTTCGTCGTAGCCATCGTCTTCATCCCCATTTTGGTCGCGCATTTTGGTCCCATGACCAGAATAGTGTAGAAAGATGGCATCCCCCGCTTGACTCTGACGGACCACATTTTGATAAGCAGCAATCATGGCAGCCTTGGTCGGAGGGGGGTGATCTTCGTCGTCTACTAAAATTGTAATGTCTTCATCTTGAAAGCCGTAGGATTCCTGTATGTAGTTGTACTAAATAATGCGCATGAGTTCCTTCAAGTGAGATAAGGCAACCAAGAAGCTGCACAACGAAAAAGACCAGCAGCACTCACCATATTGAACTGGAGCGTGTCCATGGGCAAGTTGAGGGAAAACAGAGACAGAACAAGAGTAAAAATGAGGAAGCCACCCCATTCAATAATGCAAGCAGAGTACAAGCACGTAATAGGAAATGACGCAGCACGTACAACATCGTTATGGCATCCCCTGAGTTCGCCCTTTTGTCCGTGATAGTTGATCCCAACAAGAACCTTGACATGGCGTTGACAGACGTAGTGAGAATCAGACCAGCACAGCAGAGGGGATGTTCTGGTTATTTGATGATTGATTTGCACAACGTACCGCTCGTCGATTTCCCGTGAGTTCCTCTGGAACCAGATTGAACTTTTGATTCATATCAATGGGGTGAGTAGAGGAAAGCTGAGGGATCTGCGAGAATCCCTTCTTTTTTAAAAGGTCTCTCATCTTGCCCATGACTTCTATGAAACTGAATTCTTCCAGTGGCGTCTTTTCGTCTTCGTAGAGGACATTCAACAAGGTGGCAGTGCAGGCACCACCCGCTCGCCCCTGTGGATCTGGAAGCTTGAAGGCTGCCACATTGGAAACATCGGCCGAGGTTTGACGATCTTCGCAACCGGAAATCATCCAAATGTCGGCATGCAATGCCTGTGGTTTGTTCTCTTCAAACTCTGCGCGTTCGCGATCATTTAGAAATACCATTGTCAGCTGCTTCGTTTAGATATATAAGGCGGGTGCAGATTGTTAGTTGGATAGTGGTCTTGTGATGAATGGGGAGACTCTTGATCAGTGCTGGTTGCCCATGTTTCTTGTTACGATTGTACCGGTCGTACAGAGTGTCATCGTCAATACCGTTTTGCGTCGAAGACGCAAAAGATCCCTCGCACAAAAGATCCCTCGCACAAAAGATCCAAGCCTTGTGCGTGGATTGGGGAACATGACGTCACCTCTGTCGCGTTGAATTTGCAGTTGGCGCTCCCTTGAACCGTTCTTCATTGCTTGCTTCAGGCTCCTGGCCTTGGGCTCCTTTCATTGATTTGATCAGACTGATCTAATTATTTCCAGACTACAAACAGCAGATCCAGAGTTGCAATCTACACAGCCAAACAGCGCTCTATTATTTGAACCGTCATTGGATTGATTTGTCGGTGTAGCAATGACGAAGCAATACGCCTGGCCTGGCCTGTCTCTGCACAGATGTCCCAGTTTGGGGGCTGCGATAACTGTTTGCGTTCCAAATCTTTGAATCTGCTGAGTACTTGCGTGGCACGTTTCCTGGTGTTGGGGCTCGGTACGCCCATTTTGGGAAGGTGCAAAGAGCAGCAAGATGGCGTAGCAAGTTTTCAGGGATGTGGGCTTCGTGTGGTTTCAGCCATTCTTCCAGGAGCACTCCGTGGTCGATTGCATTTCGACGGAACTCGTCGAGGAAATGCGGTCATCAAGCCCGGATCTCGACACGCCGGCTGTGAAATGAATCTTGTGGTCAAGAAAGGGCGGCTTCTTCTCATGGTGGGCAGTCTAGCGATTACTCCGGCCCAGCATGCATCAGCGCCCGGACTTGCCTGAACGGTGTCGTGCCGTAGCAAGAAATTTAGATCTGTGACTCAAACCCAATTCATCAAGTCATCGTAAAACCCGACTTCCTTGGGGAACCTGAACTCTGGGCATCCCTTCTCACGCAACCATGCCAAAACTCCATAATGACGTTTACTATCAGCATAGTGGCATGTATATTCATCCCACGGACATCCATTCTCATGAGCCCAATGTAGGGTTTCCAAGTGACCACCCTTTGCAGCACCTGTACATGTTGTTGCATACCAAGGGCATCCATTCTCGCGTGCAAATTTGAGAACATCCAAATGCCCACCCTCAGCAGCAGCTCTGCAAGTACTCTCATCCCAGGGGCATCCAATCTCACACGCCCACTTCAGCATCTTTAGATGGCCTCCTTTGGCAGCATTTGTGCATACGTCAGTTGTGTCCCACAGACACCCATTCTGATGAGCCCATTGCAGAATTTCAATATAACCACCTTCAGCTGCATGTCTGCATGCCAAAAAATCACATGGACTCCCATTCTGATGAGCATATTTTATCATATCCAAATGGCCATGTTTTGCAGCAGCAGAGCATATGTATGAACCCAGTGGGCATCCATTCTCGTGAGCCCATTTGAGGATTTCGAAATGACCAAAACATGCAGCCATGTAACAAGGTCGGTAGTCCCACGGACATACATTCTCATGTAACCATTTCAGAACTTCCAAATGGCTACATTTGGCAGCATCAGAGCATGCAGTGGTGGCCCATGGGCATTGATTCTCGTGGGCCCATTTGAGAATCTCCATGTGACCATGTTCAGCCGCGGCAGCAACAGCAACTACAGAGCTATACGTGAACCCCAGCCGCATCCATTCTCCCGTGCCCACATGAGTACTTCCAGATGACCTCCTTTAGCAGCTAGGTGGCAGATTCTACAGGCAGCTTCGGTTTTAAAGATTCAAACGCGTGCCAGCTTTTCTCATACACTTCTACGAGAGCTCGAGTAGAAGTGTACCAGGGAGGTCGGCACGCGTTTGCATCAACAAAATCGAAGCTGCTTGTACCATTCCAAGGGCACCCACGTCTCTGTACCCATTGGAGAATTTCCAAGTAACCATGTTTTGCAGCAGCCTTGGGTGTCCAGATGACACCCATTCTCGTGAGCCCACTTTAGCAACTCAAAATGACCATGCTTGGCGGCAACAGCACATGTACTTGCATGCCATTGGCATCCTTTGCTGCGAGCCCATTGGAGGACAGAAAGACTCCCAACTTTGGCAATTTGTTTGCACGCATCCGGGGGAAATCTTCCCCTGCAATAGTGATGGAACCAATATGCGGCACATGACACATTGAAGAAAACGGCCCTGTAGAATGTATCTGTACTAGTTGCTGGACGGACAAAAGGCCCAATTGTGCATGGATTCTCCACTGTGTTACAGTACGCCTTGTAGAGATTCGTTAGCTTGTTGACAGTTCCAACAAAGGCATAATGACCCATTCCCAGGAAGGGGGAAATGCCGTCCACTCAGATATCTCTTTTGTCCAATAGTAGTACTACTAACTTAGTCGGAGGATCCATGTCTTTTCCCTTGGGGACGGGCTTCTTTGTGGTGGCGGGCATGATGATGGCGGAGACAAGCTGATGGGGTTGAATGCACAATGGTCTGATGGTGGCGCTACTTCGTTTTGGTTTTGTGGCGTGAGTTGCGAGAGGGGCTGGTTGGGTCTCTCCCCACCTCCCTTTGAGACGTGCCCGAGTATCTTTCTTAGCTTTGGGGTAAATTTGCAACGTCAGCTCACAATTTCAAGTTTTCTTTCGTTCTCAACATCTCAACTCCACGTCGACGACGATCATTGGAATAAGCAACAATCACATTGCAGAAGGTCCTCCTCAAGGTGCCTCTATGCTCATTATTCTAGTTCCCGTTCACCTCCAGAGAACACAAAGATGAGGTCGGCATTGAATGCTGTCGTCTTAGTTACATTGACTACAATCAACTATCACACGGTTGTGGTTCATTCCTTTCTATCTCCCTTCACCCAGACTGCGAGAAGATTCTCTTCTCTATCGTATACCAATGACCCGAAGTCTCCTAGGCCCGTTGGACAAGTACTGACAATACCAGTTTTGGGCCCGATTCCTGGTGGCTCTCCTCTCGTAATAGGCGAAGATTTTCTGTTGGAACAACCAACTCCTCTTCAGTGGAACGTGCTGGAAGAAGCCATGCATCATCATCGTCAACACGCCAAACAACAACGAGAAGAGTCGAGTCATCTCAAAGTGGCAGGCATTGATGCTGCTCCCTTGGTAGCATTCATGGACGATGTCACGTCCATGTATTCGATTCCGGGAGACAGAAGCAATGCCAAGTATGCTACCGTGGCGGCTGTCGTGGGCATTTCATCCGACCTGGGTGATGATACATCTTCCTCTGAAGGTTTTATGGAATCCATTATGCGGGTGTTTCGACCGGACCAAAAAGACACGGTGCGCCCTCTGGAAAGCAGCAGCATTCGATTAGTAGGCATTGGCAGAGCGGCACTCTCCAACTTTTATTCTCGCATTCCCAGCAGTTACTACGAGGAACAGCAAGACGAGGATGGCTACCTTGTTCTCTCGGAACAACAAGAACACGACAATGCCAAAACACCCATCATGATGGCCCAATTTCGACTGCTGACCGACACGGCAGAACGGTCCTCTGCGTTTGTCGACGACTTTGGGGGGTCCGCAAGGTCGTCTCCTGTGCACGCCTTGTCCGAAATGGGCAACCTGGCCTCACGAATCACCTCCCTGCATGAAGATCGTAAGGCACTTGTGAGGGGCCTTCAGGCAGCCAAGGCCCGATTGGCGGTAGCCGCAAAAGCCGACGAATTGGAAGATCATGATGGATTGGGCATGTTGTCCAGTGGATTCCAAGCGGTCAATGGTGGTAACAATCAACAACAGCAGCAGCAAGATATAGCTACCTTGCTCTCCGATTTTCCAGTCGGGGCCGAGTCTTTGTTCCCAAGGAAGAAGAATAGTCACGAACAACTCCTAGAAATGGAAAACTACGGCATGGGCATCTCCTCTGCGTCCTTCTCAGCCATTCCCGGCCTCACCAAAGCGCTGGCCGAAAAGTTGCGGCCGTATCACAGCCCTGAAAAACAGGCCACAGAAGAACACTACTACGAGGTTTTTAGCTTTATGGGAGTGTTGTCTGTCAACAAGTTCGTCCCAGCGACTGATCTGGATTCGGCGCTCAAGTGCACGAATACAATCGAACGAATGAAATGGCTTTATGAGACCATGTGGTCTCATAAAAACCTGCTTCGAGATGCTTGCGAAGAAGTCAGCCAAGAACTACGGGATTGTGGGGAGGAGTGTACGGATTTGTGGTGAAATGGGACAGCGATTGTCCTTTAAGACGTGGCAGCCACGGAGATGATGAGGGGGCTATCAGTATGCATGGTTGTTACCATACTAAAGACCAATTTTGTTTATGCCATCATTTCCAGCGAGCTAAGAGCGTTTTCAATTTGACAATCCGAATCACTCGAGAAACTGAAATGTAGTTTGAACTAGGAAAAGGAAGGAATCAGTCAAGGAGCCGTGCTCTTCTCTGCTGCATTCGCCGCATTCTCATTCATACTGACATGTACAACAGTCTGGACGGGCCAATGAAATTGGAAATGCGAAGGTCTGACAAGCAAGGTCAGAGTTTTCACCCAGGAGAAAGTTGTGAAACTCTTCGCAAGTTATTGTCTTTCCCTACGTCGGCTGTTCGGTTGGCGGCGTCTTCTACCAAGCGGTACTCTGCGGCTGGACAAAGCTCACACAGCGGTTCCACATCGCTCACACAGCGGTTCCACATCGTCGCACCCGCACAGAAATGCTTTGTTTTGCAAACCTTGACCACGGCTTTCATTGCATTGGACATTGTCAAAACTCAGCATGTATCGGTGAAGCTCTCCACAAGTAATCACCTCGGATCCATTGTTCAGCAAGGTCCAATCTTGAATCATGATATCCGAGTTGGAGGGCGGTTCGCCGTTCGGACACAATGTACAAGATGCATTCACATTCGGCTCCACCCCAGGACAACCACAGTAGGCGGCAGTGCCCTGGGCTTCCTCGCATTTTCCGTCCGGTAAGTCTCGAGTCCAAGAGGCCACATTTCGAAAACCTTCGCATGCAAGTTGGATGGACAAACGTCGACATTGCAATGGTTCGGATCATTCCTACTAGCCAGAGGATATTCAATGCTGGCCGCAGGGAGCATCCTGGTTGGGAGTGGCTAGTCCCAGGCAAAGGCTATCCTTCCTCTTTAGAACTGTTAATTACTACATTTACAAAGAGTATATATTATCTTCCGATAGTATACACAAAATGTTGCGATGGAGGAGGCTGATACGCTTCATAACCATTCAAATGTTTGGAGTCACCGCACGCAACCACAATCAACTTTTCATCCGACAATTGCTGCAACCATGGCCTTGTCCAGGACAGCATCAACGTCAAAACAGTCAGCAATGATCACCAACAAAATGAAAAGGCCCACGTCCATGTCTTGACCAAAAATCTCCACATGATTCCTCTTCCCTCTGTACTTCCACATGGCGCAATCTTCCCCGGTTTCTGGGTCGGTGCAATACTTTTCCAACGACATGCGTGGTCCCGATCTGATTTGATACATTTGCTTGTTTTGAAGCTGGAACACCGTGGTTTCTTTTCCTTGTCGTCTCACTTGAGTATGGAAGTAGAGCGGGGCATTTCCTGCTCGTTGGAGTTTATCAGTAGCTCGTTGCCCTGGATAGTTGGGTTCCATTCGAAAGACGTGGAAAGCGCGACCGCATCGCTTGGCGACGCCCAATACTTTGTCACCTGATTGTAGCACCAACTTGCGCTTGCTGGTGTCCACGCTCAACGAAGAACCTCCAAAAGTGGCACCGAGAGTGGTGGCAATATATTCCTTGTCATATTTGACGAGAGGAAACTGGGTGGTATTGGCCGACGACTCTGTGGCTGGTGCTTCCCACAATGGTGGAAGGCACTCGAGGTCTTCAGGGACACTCTCCTTGACAGATGATTGAGAGCTTCCCATGGTTTTCTTCTTTCAGATTTGTGTGCACCTAACGGTATACTAGCGAGTACGCTGTGGGACTATGCACTTCTTCGCTTCTTCCCCATCTCATTTTTGTTTACAAGATCTCCTCGTCTCTCACCAGTCCGGACCCCCACAACTTCTTATCTTTTTGAACCTCGCAACTCGTGGCTCAGTCGCGTTAGGTGAAGATACAGAGTGTGCTTTGTCGTGCATCGCCAAAACACAGGCTTTACTCTACACAATGTACACGCTGCAAAATAAACGGAGATAATGGATCGGTGGTGCATCTTCCACCTACATCCCTTCGATTTGCTCATACTTACCTTAGACACTCACGCAGCTGTTCAATCAGGGCTGTGGGGCTGCAGTGGAGCTGGTCAATACACGCATGAAATACTGTGGACTGTACGTGATGCTGTAGCACTTGGGGTTCAGCTCCAAGTCTGTCTATAATTTTTGACAAGGTGTGATGGCGCTTGCGCCTCATGCCGCCCCCTTCCAAACCAAAACCCCCCAAACAAACCAAACCTTTAGAGGTTCATTCCTCTAACCCCATCATCCTTTGGGATGGTCCCTTTGCAAACCAGAGGGTTTTATTCCCTCATCCTTTGGGTCCACCCACTCCCTTTTGTCGAGATGTCGCTGCGGAGGAATATAATGTTTCGATGACAACTTTGCCAACCCATCGCCCAGCCCTCCACCTCACGTGCCTCCGCGACGTCTGCATCCTATGCATGGCGCTCTGCGAGAGGGGGCTTAGCAATGGATCACTTTAATGGATGTATCTTTAGGAACACTCAAAGCAATGTAATTCTTCCTCTATAAGAATTACCCGACTAAACTATAGCCACATCACGGAGCCAACACAGCATCCATGCAAAAATTCAGAACGTGGTTGATTGGCCCCTCCGGGATGCCTCCATCCGATCCATAGATACCTGCAGATCCTTTCTTCCCTGTGCCGTTGGATTCCAACCGTTCTTCGTCCACAGACTGTTTGAATTCGTCGATAAAGACGTTTGCTTTGGGGGCCACCAACGCCGTCACACAAATATGCATCGACAAAGGATTTTGGAGCGTGTTGAGCTCCCACCCTCTCTTTTTCATGCGTTTCCCAATCTTGGTGATATCCATTTCATCCGAACCAAAGCAGACCACCATGGAAGGGTTCTTGGTCAGCAATTCCACACCATCGGTCTCGTCTATTGCCGTGGCAATGGCCTGTGTTGCCTGGACGATTTCGTGCACTCGCTCTTTGTATCCATCTTGTCCCATGGACATGATGGAAGTCCACGCACATGCTTCCAAAGCACCTGGTCGAGTGCCTGCAAAGGAGGGTGTCGCGTAGATTCCTCCGGTCCATTTGGCGTAGCAGAAATACTGAGCATGGCGGAGTTTTTTGTTTCGGTAGACGACGACACTGGTTCCCTTGGCACAGTACCCGAATTTGTGTGTATCAATGCTCATCGATGTGACACCGGGCACGGTGAAATCAAACTTGGGCGCATCCTCCCAGAATGCCAGGACAAATCCTCCCAAGCAAGCATCCACATGCAGTCCAATATCGTATGACAGAGCAATCTGTGACAATGCTTCAATGGGATCTATCACTCCTTGAGGATAGCAAGGTGCGGATGCGTAGATTAGAATAGTGTTGGAAGTCACGGCAGCTCGTACTTTGGCTGGATTCAGTGTGTACCCATCCTCTTTAGTACAATCGATACAGATTTTTCGAATGCCCATGAGTTCACACGCCTTATCGACGGCCGCATGAGCGGTGGTTCCACAAATGAGTTCGGGATGTTGAATGCCTCGTCGTTTGCCGTAATGATTGAGACTGGCTCGAATGGCACAGAGGATACTTTCCGTGCCTCCCGACGTCATGGTTCCCGCAACGGGTTGTGGAGCGTGCAAGATGTTGCCCGTCATGGCAATCACTTCGGCTCCGCATTGCACGAGTCGTGGCCAGATTCCCAAATGCAAGGGATTGCCCCACGTGTAGGCGGCAAAGGTTTGATTCATCAAGTCGGTATGGGCGGCATCACCGTGATAGACTGTTCCCGATATTTTGCCGCGTTTGTAGTGTTGATTTTCGTCTTTCGAAAAGGGTGTGATGGCGGCCAATGCCGCATCCGGGCCCCATCCCTGTTTGGGTATTTGCGTGTGAAGGATACGGTCCGGTGACTTGTTGAGTGATTTTTCAAAGTCTTGTTCCTTCATCATGTGTGCCGCCATGGCATCCAATTTGGGTTCGACCAAGGGGACGTGATTGAGAGTCCAGTGAAAGATTGTGTCGGTCATGACGGTCTGCCATTGCGACAGAGGAATCTGCCGCAATATGTGGACCTTGCGCCAGAGTAACAAGACGGCGGAGAGTGCGAGAAAGTCTTCCAGAGCCACCCAGGTGAATTTTACGAATGGAACATAACCAAAGGCCCACTGGGACTGCGATGCTACTTCCAAAGACAAATGCTTGAGATACGCCAGGATAAGGAAGAGTCCTTCCCAGAGGCTCCAATCTTGAGCTGACGGGACCAAGACCCGAGCGATCACCCATGCGGCAAAGAGAAGAGGGGTGTAGGGACGGATGGTCCTCACCAAAATGACAAGCATGGTGGTATTTGCTGGTGGTTTGGTAGCAGACTTGAGTTGTAATAACTTCTATCGATCAGTTATTGTGAGCACAGTATTCTGGTGGTATCATTCAGCTGAGCCCTGAGCACACCGGTTGGTAATAAACGGATGCTGGTACCGTACTAAACTATTGCTAACTATTGTGAATAGAACATGAAGAAGGACAAGTCCAACCAACTCCAATGTTCGCGGTCGAACCTTCGCTTTCATTCCTGTTGCGAAGCAGAAGATGTTCCTTCGACGAATGACATGCGTGGTTGCCGGAATATACCAGGTACCTGGTACCGGGATGTCAGAGTGACAGTCCCTTGTGTGACGTAAGCGTATCTTTTGGATCTTTTCCTTTCCTTTGGGAGGGTTGGGGTTACCGTAGAGTTCTTAAAATTATTGGTACAGTAATTATAATTTAATTACAAATTATGAAGTGCTCCCTTCGTGGGACTCAACTTGAAACTGTCTCTAATTAAAATTATCAGAATTTGATTTCAAATTGAGTCGAGTCCATTGGCGATCGCCGGCGATCACCAGCGATCGCCCGCGATCGCCAATGGACTCAATTTGAAATCAGTTTCTGATAATTTTAATTAGTTTTAAAAATAGAAAAATGGAACCCCTAGCCTTACCGTACCTTAAGTCAGCTCTGGGTCATGGCCGCCTCAATTGGGACTTGGCTAGCTACTGTAGTCTACTCTAGTAGCCGACATCGGACAATCGGACAGCAACAACACTCCCAAAGAAGTCGAGTCAAGAGATCGGTCCTCGACCATGATGACACCACTACTGGTACTAATACCAACAAGGCCCGGCAACCGCCGAGACTTTAGTTCTTGTTATCATGGCATTATCTTGTTATTGTTGTTATTACAACACTGTCCAGTATCAGATGCTACCATTGCGATTTCTTCCGAATGGAATCCACTCATCGCAGGTGTCTACGTGCGAGGCGTGTTGGTGGATCACGAACACGCATTTGCCAAGGCGGCGGGAGGACCGCAAGAAGAACGCATGGACTTGTGGCTGTACAGCTTTGATCGAGGCATGCACGATGGTGTGCGATGGTTTATTGGACCCGATATTCACACAGATTCCGCATTGACATATGTCGACCATTGGTCTACTCGAAATCCCTGTGCCGGAAATACCACCACACGTCCCAGTGCACATTGGATGGTGCATCGGGATGGTAACTGGCAACCGGATCTCACGTTGACTATTACATGTCATGGACTCGAACCAGGAGGTGTCGATGCATGTCACGAGAATTCATCCGTTCCGTGCATTGACTTGGCGGGGACTGGCAATGGTCCGGTTCCCATGCCAGTCGTCATGCTGGGAACTGCCTATATTGGACCCTCTCATGGCGCGTCCAACCAAGTGATCGAACCGGCTCCTGCCATTGAAGTCGCACTCGACCAAGGATACCAAGGATTGGATTTGGGATCCCAACTCCATCCCGCCTATGCCAACGAACGTCAAGTGGGAGAATTGTTGGCGGCACGACCGGGCCGTCGAAAATCCACATTCTTGACCACCAAATTATCTCCCAACGAACACGGCTATCAGAGTACCATTCGGGCCGTTCAACGATCGCTTCAATTGCTACAGACCGATACTATTGATCTCTATTTGATTCATCATCCGTCTTGTCTCATGGCCACCGAATGTGAAGGAGATTGGGTCGAAAGTTGGAGGGCCATGGAACGACTCCTCAGTTTGGGAGCCATTCGAGCCATTGGTGTTTCCAATTTTGATTATGCCTTGCTCCATCATTTGGTCGGAGGAGATGGCAACGACCATAAAGGCATTGCACGGGCGCCCGTGTCGTTGGTGCAAAATCGAGCCGATCCCTTGCAGTTGGAAGATGTCAGTGTCTTGCGACTGTGTCGGGAACACGCCATCAATTATCAAGCATTTAGTGTCTTGGGCCGACAATGGAATGTCGGTCCGTGGACGCCGTATTGGAACGCCCCGCATCCCATTCTGACACATCCACATGTCGTGGCCATTGCCGATCGACTCTCGCATGAAACCACCACCAAGACAAGTAGTCGCACGAGAACCGCCGTGTCTCCGGCACAAGTCATTTTGCGGTGGGCGTATCAAAAAGGATGGACCGTCGTGCCCAAAACGGCCAAACCCGATCGACTTGAATCGAATCGACAAATCTTTCATTTTCAACTCACCGACTTGGATATGGGGATACTGGATGCTTTAAAAGCTCCGCCGCAGCCGTCCAAAGAAGACGAGTTGTAATGCACAACTAGCTAATAAGGTTTTGATTTCATTCGAACCGTACAGTGGTATGTACGACAGCTGAAGAGTTGTTGGAGTTTGCAGGCCACCAGAACGGTACCGTCCATAGTGGAGCGGGACGCGAGTCTCCACCAGAAGTGCTCCTAACCGGTAAGAGTATACGGATAGCAACAGCCACAACTGCAACCACTGTGTGAACTGGAATCAGACGACTAATGTACAAACGAAAGACGAGAAGTTGGCATTGCCACTGAGTAAAAAAAAAAGAACACTACTATGTTTTATTATTGCTATGAGATGATTACGAAAGTATTTGATTGTTTGTTGTTGTTTGTATTGATTGAATAGCATCAACAATGACAGAGGTTGGTAGTCAGGTTGTCACCAGGTGTTAACTTTGGACTTTCATCGCGTGGAAGACGTTCGGACAAGCTCTCTGTAATAGAGGCTGCCTAGCACCGGAACCACAAACCGGGCCACCCTTGCTTGTGACTTAGACTTTGAACCAACAGTGTACATCTCCACTGAATTGAAAAGATTAGCCCTGCACCCCACCAGATGCTTGCTCTCAACGACGCCTCACCTCAGTTAGCCCTGCACCCCACCAGATGCTTGCTCTCAACGACGCCTCGCCTCAGTTATCTATATTAATTTCTACTCGTGTTGGGACTTATGTTTACCTGCAAATGGGAAAAGGAAACGAGAACTGTTAGTGAAAAGTGAATGAAAGCACGAGCGTCGACTTACCTTGTCTGCGCTGGATACTTGCCTTCATCGAGTCGTCGACACCTGCAAATAAGAAAAGGCATTGAGAACTGTTAGTGAAGAGTGAATGAAAGCACGAGTGTCGACTTACCTTTTTTGTCGCGCCCCTTGCCTTCATCGAGTCGTCGCCACCTGCAAATAAGAAAAGGCATTGAGAACTGTTAGTGAAAAGTGAATGAAAGCACGAGTGTCGACTTACCTTTTGTCACATGATACTTGAGTTTTGTCGCGCCACCTTGTCTTCATCGAGTCGTCGCCCCGACTCTTCGTCGCCAAATGTTGTTTGTCGTGGTTCCGCAATGGAACACTCCAGCACTGACTTCTGGATGCTCACCAAGACTCCTGCGCCTTTCCATTTTAAAAATGGGGAAGGTACATGCTTCCGGAGAGCATGGGGAGATGTTTCCATACTTTTGCAAGTCCTTGGTTTCAGAGCATCGAAGAAACATGAGACAGAGTCCGCCACCATTAACAGTCTTATCCTGTGTCGGTGCTGTTGGTGTTAGACTCGGCCTCAATATCAGCGCGCACCGGTTTGTTGTTTTGTTTTGTAATTGTAATGTATTGTCGTCTCTGCTCTTCCTACCACTCCTCCGGCTTCTGCACGGTCGTAGGCAATGTCATCTCTTCTGCTTCTTGTCGTCGCCACAAGAACATCAGAACAGCAAACGACATGTAAGTGACTTCGGCAGCAAAGTGCCAATGTTCCAGCTCGAAGAACATCGCCAATGCCTGAACACCGACATGGGCCATGTGCAACAACTCATGTCGTCCAATCTTTCCACCACATTGGACCAAGCAACACACGAGGCTTACCACCATACTAAGAATGCCCACCGGCATTTCCACCTCAGCCCGCTCTTCGTGTGACATTGCGAACACCATGCATTTGATCAAAAACAGACACTTGACAATATCCGCCGCCGAAAAGGAAGTTGTCGTCTTGGGAAGCTGTTCTTGTTTCGAAATAATGTCATCATCGTCCTCTGCTACAGTCACAATGACATCTGGCTTTGGCACATCCACCGAAGCCTCGATTTGCTGTTGTTGATATTGCGGCATAAGCACCGTCACGTCCCGACGGAGGTCATCGCGTTCCTCCTCTGTCAGTCCGTATGCCTTCAAGAGATTTGGTGCATCAACCACAAGAGGATGCTCGCCGTGCTTTTTAGCATACCGGTGCCATTGCCACCATGGATCCACCGTTTCCCAGCATCGCTCCAGCTCCAACGCCTTGGCTGCTGATTCGTGGGCGGAATTGGCTCGGATCTTGTCGATGCGCTTCTTCTTCTGCTTTTCCTCTTCCTCGTACAAGCAGTAGTCGACTTGCAGCACGCTGTTATTGAATCGCACCTTGTGGCCCTTTTTGTTGGTGTTGGTTGGGTTGACTTGTTGTTGTTGGGTGTCTTTTCAATCTGCGAGTAGGATCCTTGCCAGACTTGAGTGGGCGCATCGTCCCGAGGGACAATGGGAACGTAGTTGTAGTAGTCTAGGCCAGTGGCAGGGTCGTGATGACTGAACGATTGGTATCGCGCCCGTCGATGATTCTTCGGACCCTTTGCACCCAGCGTGTCAATGTGGACCACCTTGGCGCCTACCACCATTGTGCATCTCTCCTTGCGAATGCCGTCGTCCTCTGGCTCTTCGTCGTCGTCATCGTCCTCTTTTTCAGTCGCGATGACATCTTCCGTTGGTTTGTCCGTTTGTGGCTTGGGCGTTGGGAAGTTGTAGACCTTTCGTGCTGGTGATTTTGGACAGGAGGCAGGGAATCAGGCTGGATGCGAACGAGTTGGCGATGGCGAAGTCTGTCCAGAGAGAATCCCCGGACTTCTTTTTGCAGCTCCTTCATTTGCTTCGACGACACAAGCTTGGGTTCTTTCCATCGTCGACACGAGAGCCATTCCGACCGAGAGAAAGCGGGTGGCTTGACGCCTTTCGCTTTCAACACCTTGGCCCAGACACGTGGAGGGGGTTTCTGAAAGCACGTCTTTCGTCGTCGTGGCGGCATTGGAGGGGGCGTTGGCAAAGTTGTCATCTTCTTGTTGTTGGCAGTAATAGTAGCGAGCATGATGATTGATTGATAGATAGTAAAGGCAGAGATTCGTTGTACGTCTAATCGAGAGTGTATTTTCCAAGGTCTGTATTCAGAACTTCTTGAAAAAATATTATGAGGGAATGATGGCGAATGCATCCTGCACCCTCCTCTGCTCTTCCATCGATGCTCATCATCGTCGAAAAACGTCCATCGTGACAAGTATCGATTCTCGTCACGCTCCATGATGGACATCGAAAGCACTGCAATAGCGAAGCGGTGGAGTGGTCAGAAGGGCTGTTCATGGTCCCTACTAGCGGTCTCTTGTGTGCCTTGTTGTGTTGCTGAAAGAGCGGCGTCGGACTCCGTGGTGTCATGGTCATGGGTATGACCTGCTTTGGATCTGAGCGGTTTCCGCCGTTAATTCTAAACGGGACTGAAAGACAAAAAAGATTTAGACAAAAGAGGTGCACGTCAGCACCGCAGCACCGCAGCAGCCGCAGCACCCAGCTCGATCAGCTCCGCACAACGCAACAACCACCGTCAAGAGCAAGCGATTCAGACAACAACACCCACTAACCAAGGGTCTCTAGCTATCATCATACTACTCTGAGAGGCCCAGGAAGTGTGTTGTTGGTAGTATAGAGCATGAAATCAGTGCTCATCAGTGGATCAGTCTCGTCTCATCACATGTCGTTTTCCATCTGGCAGAATCTGCCATCTGGAAATTGGGGTGGAAAATTGGGATGTCACCATGATGAGCTCACTTTTTTGTTCAACCGGATTGCTAGAGTTGCATACCCAACCGAACAAGGAAGACTTTCGCGATTGTTGATAAGCCTAGGCCAGATCAACCCCCCTACTTTCAATTACCTTTTCTACCAATCTTCTATTCAATACCTATCAATTGCAAAATGAAGTTCTCTTCTTCTATCATGAAGCTGCTCTCGTGGTCATGGACCACCGACAACAACAGCAACACCACGAATACCCCCGTTCTCCAGGTCGCCAAGGATATGACGGGCAACAACAACAACAACAAGGATGTTCCTGCGGCAGAGGAAGTCCCAACGTTCCAACTGGACGAGTTGGACAAGTCGGTCATCGAGACCGCGGCTCTGTTGCACGGAGAGCATCCTGATGTGGAATTCCAGCAGCACGGTCGCTACCTAGGTGCCTACGACCTTTCCCTGGTTCCTACGGATCAGCATGGTCACTACGGATACGACAAATACAACCAGCACCGGCCCAAAGGCTGTCGCATCCAACCCAGTCAATCTGCCAACGCTCGCTGGAAGACCCATTACGGTCAAGACACCGAACGGAGCAATGGAAACCGTTTATCCTTTGCTCCCGTCAACACTGTAGTAGGGTACTCTTCTGGCACGAGTGAACAAAAAGAAAAGTCCGATGCCTATGGAGACGTGAAGAAGCATGAGCCACAGGCCCGATATGAATTCTGGCACGAAGCCCAACAACAATTCATTTCCGTCGGCACACCCACACCCCACGAACGCGTCTTGGATCTCGTGCAGTTGATTCAAGAATACGGATACCAACAAGTGGCCAAATGGATCACCAACAACAAATGGTTCCAAAGCGACAACGCGTACCTCCGACAAGCCAAACTGTACATTCAAATTGATGCCGTGCATCAAGACCTCGAGGCACTTGTCAAATTCATCCAGGCGAAGAAAGGAAATAACAAGCAAGTTGCCCACTGGTTCATGGTCAACGAAAAGAACACTTACATGTTCGAACTCGCCATGTGCCACTTGCACCACGGAGGAATTCAGCGCAATGCTGACGAAATTTGCACCTTGAATACGCGAGAACAGATTGCCAACCGACGATTTGTCTATCGCAAGGTCAAGGACGTCTGCATGGAAGATGCAGCAGGCATAGTAGTAGAACAACAACCAACAACAGCTAAAGACATCGAGGCAATAGAACAAGTCTCAACCGTCGACGACGACAAGATGGCATCCGATGCCACGATTACATGCGAAGCAGCTGTAGTTCCAACATGCACAGCAGTGGTACCATACATTCAAAAGTGGCATGTGGCACACTTCAAGATCAGTGTGCATGGACAACAACCGTTTGTAATGGAGATGCGAATGATGAATGGTGCGCTACTTGGAGTGGTACCCAACGACATTCTCGCAGCCTTGATGAAGGATGCTGGAGACCTTGTCAAGGAATTCATGCAGCGGCACAAGACACTACGATTGGAGGCAGGTGTTGCCTCGGACGACACGGATTTCGAATTCGTGACTGGCCAAGTGGAAGCTGAAGAACCACTGGTAGAGGTAGAGGTAGAGGAACAACAACAAGTTGATGCTGAAGAACCGCTGGTCGACAACCGAGTCGACGAGGAGGACAATGTGGACACAGCACAATCAACACTGCGGCGGTCAAAGAGACGCATGGCGGCGATTGCATCTCAGAGAATCGCAGAACAAATCAAGACAAAGCCACGGCGGGTGGCAGAACAACAACCTAGAATTAATAAAGGTAGACGCGCGGCGGCCACGAAGAAAAAGTCGACAAAGCCAAAGGCGAAGGGCAAGAATAAGTCAACAAAACCAAAGGCGAAGGGCAAGAAGAAGAAGACGACACCTGTGACGGACACACAGCAGGAAACAACAGTTCAGACAACAACAAGTCGTTCTGGACGGCGGGTACGAAAGCCCGATCGGTACATTCCAGTCTAGGACAACAGGTAAGTGGGGCGGCCACCACGGATTGCGGGGACTACTAACACATTAATACATTACACAAAGAGCAAGCATCTGTTGGGGTGCAGGGCTATACAACAATTTTGCGGAGATGAATACAGTTGGTTCAAATGAAGGGTCGCATACAAGGTAGCCAGGTTTGTGGTTCCTGTGCTAGGCAGCCTCTATTGCAGAGTGCTTGTCCGAACGTCCTCCACGCGACGAAAGTCCAAAGTTAATACCCGTGACACCTGACAACCAACCTCTATCATTGTTGATGCGATGCTTTAATACCCTTTGGGCTGGAGGAAACAATCTCAAATACAACCTTACATAAACATAGAACAATAACACATACCGGTAGTAGAGAATCTTTACAACAACAAAATTCTGGTCTTCCTTCAGTATAGTATTTGTAGTCATAGTCTGCGATATTTAAAATAATAATAGTGGATGATCTGAGTTGAGTCGAGTCAATTCGGGCCGGACTGCTCCGTTCGCACAACCGCGCAGAAGGCGATAAAGCCGGTACCAGATACAAGCCAAAGTTGTCGTTTCAGTCGAGGACGTAAGAGGATCTACTAGTAGTTGGCACACGTTGACAGACCATCACGTGTACAGGAGCTCAATGGACGCGACTTCGAATTTTCCTCGGATGGAAATGCAAGCCAGTGGCTGGCCCGCGAGAACGCGAGAAACAGTTTTAAATTTTCGTGCTGACGGACAGATGCAATCATGGTTCCTTCAGGGTACCAGGCTTCTCCGAATGATTGAATGATTCGCACTTGACTACGCTGCTGTACAAACCAAGACCCTGGTCCTGTAGACGCGTGAAAGCACCGTTGATTGCCATACCAAACTGCACAACATCATACGCCGCACTGTAGCTCGAGTATCCGACTCTTGAGCCTGCCACATGCGACACGTTACCTGGGCTCACCCAGCCAATCTGCGCTGTAGTGTGAGAACCCAGCTTGATCGAGAATGATTTGATCGGGTGGGGATGGCTTTTGGATAGCGGAAGCAAGCAATAGGATGCAGACTGAACCGAATCGACTTCGTAGTCCGGATGGACCGCAACCGGCGTGCTGGAGCTTGGATCCGTCGATGAATCAAGGTGGTTGGACCAAACGGATACACTCCGAGGCTCATGCCATAGTATTCCACCATACGATGAAAGTCTCTCTGTTTTGTCCGGTCGTTTGAAAAGTCCGGCGGTGTTGGTGGCGCCACAAGAGAGGTTTTAGTAGCGAGGGCCCTCAGGAAGTTGATCAAGGGCAAAAATAGTTCGATGGGCTGATCGATGAAATACTCGCCCTCTTCAGTTTTCGATAGTCCTTCGTCCCATCGGCCACTAAACATGGCTTCCAAAAGAGACCCATCGATCTGAGTGAGAGTCCTTCGAAGCACAGATTGACTTGTACCTCCAACGTTGAGACGGATGACATCGTCCTTCGTACCCATCTCTGGGAGCCTTTCGTCGAGGTTTGTTTGCAGGCGTACCAATGCTTTCTCTTGCTTCTTCATTAGAGTCTCGCGGTGCTTGAACAACGCAGGTGATTTTTGTAGCGTAGTGTCCAGGCTATCGTCCATGGCGTATAGAACACAGCTTCGCATCTGTGGACTCTTCTCTTGGGTGTGGGTTGTGACTTGATCCGGCTTTGGACTTTGGATCCTTGGTCTGCGTTTCTTTCATGTGCTTTTGTGGGGGATACACAGTTGACAACGGTCGAACCAAGCGAGACCGACAAAGCAGAGCAGAGCAGACATCTGTATGTAAACCCATTGCATAGTATGTCTGTTGTCATTCGTTATTCCAACGGTGACTGATGGATACAGAGAGGGGGTGGCCATCTGACGGGAGGCCAACAACATGTCGAGTCTCCGCAAACATCCACACAAACACAAAAGCGTGGAACTGACCTGAAACGTGCGCTCCGTAAAACATGGAACAGACGTGCTCTCGAGAAAACCGACGAGATCAGCGCATTGCACAAGTCCTCACATAAATCGTCTCTCATCACTCTGAACTGGAACGAGCAAAGTCATCGAAAATGCCGTCTCTCGCAAAGTATCAAGAAGCTGAGCTTTTCAAGGGCTTGTCCATGACCGAGGACGGGTCTGACAATGGCGCTGCCATGTCCAGCAACGGTGTGAGCTTTGCCACTGCCTCGGAGCTTCGCGTGGGCAAATTCTGCCTGATCCAAGGCTTCCCCTGTCGCATTCGTGACATTCAGCGCTCGGCCCCTGGCAAGCATGGCCATGCCAAACTCCGCATCGTGGGCGTGGGTATCTTTGACCAGCGCAAACGCGAAACCATCTTTTCCGCTCATCAAAATGTCTTGGTTCCCACGGTGGAAAACCGATCCAACATTCTTGCAACTCCTCAAGTCGGAGGTTTTCAGATTGTCGTGGCATCGGATGGTATGCCTTTTGTGTTGTCGTGGACTGATGAAGAGAATACGCCCCAGAACGGCAGCTACGTTGTGTTGACTGTCGTCATTGCTTGCGGCCACTTTCGAATCACTGGATTTCGTCCCATCTCGGAGGAGGAAGCTACCGCCTTGCGCAAGCAGAGCCAGGAAGGAACCAAGGAAGAGGAGCTCTCTTCTGTCCTCTCCAAGAAGGAACAACGCAAACTCAAGAGGTCATTGAAGAAACGAGCCGCCGTTCCGACAGTCGTAGATTAACCCAATAGGCACAGAATAAAATAGCAGTTGAAGATGACTCTTTGTAGTGTAGTCTTCCAACCTAAATTCTTGTTCAAAGAAACGTACTGTTGTACGTTCGAAGAGGTTGCATCGGCCGATTACTACAAGAAACGTGATGGCCCAGCTCGTAATTAAGCTATGCCTGATAATGCGATGATCAGGCAGTTTGGGAATTAGCCACACGTTTTCGAGCATGGAGCAACCAACAAGGAGAGATAATTGTCGAATATAGGCATCAACACAGTAGAAGGCGATCGCTTCATGCAAGGACAGAATGCTGCAAATTGGTTTGCTATTTTCAGAATGTTACGTGTACGTTTCCTTGACTTTTTTGTCGACGAGGATAATTCCATGGAGTAACATCCTTGTATCTTGCTTTCTGACTTGCTTTCTGATGAGCTCGGCATTGGCACACCAGTTGTTTGAGTCAGGTGTTTTTAATTTTTAACTGGTCTGGGACTCTTTTCCCATAATCTCAATATCAAAGAGGAGATTGGAGTTTGCAGGAATGTAGAACGAACCTCCCTTCGATCCCATGGGACGAGACCCATATCCGAGTTTCGAAGGCACGTGAAGAAGGGATCGATCTCCTTCTTTCATCTGCAAGACGCCTTGGGTCCAGCCTTCAATGAGATTGACTCCAGGTTGAAAGACAAAGGGACTGTCTCGAGCGGCACCGTCTTCTTTTCGTGTAGACCAACCCGACGGTGTCTTCTCGCCGGATTCCCCTTCAATATAGAGGGTCACCATCGAACGGTATTTGTGATTCTTGGTCACAGCAGGACCATCTCCACGTCGGAGGACCTCCACGCGAACTTCTTCCGCCGAGACATGGCCAACGCCGCTCATCATGGCGTTAATAATGGCAACCAAACCAATCACCAACAGCAATGGCTTGCAAGCCTTAAAGGGAGATAGTGGTTTTGTCTTGATCAGTGTCATGTTGCTCTTTGTGGATTGGCTCTTTGTGTCCCCTCTCTCACCGGTACACAGTACGATACTAGCGAGTAGGCATGCCGGCGGCTTGGCTTTCCTTTACAAGATCGCAACAAAAAGATTCCGATTCGGGGCATGATTCAACGTGGATATTTCCAATGGAGGAGTGGTGCGACCATGTTTGCCAAACAGGCATGCCAAGACGCCAAGGACTCGACTGAAGTCCAGTGACTCGACTCGACGCAGTCGCCAAATGGCTCTTGTACGGTACCAGGTACTTAATTAAGTGGCTCAGTGGTACTAACTTACTTCACGCTTCATGCGTGTTACAAACTTATCTCATAAAGACATAAAACATGGTACCCAATTGTCAATCAATAGACTCTCGCAGTAGTTTTAACCGTAAGAACTGTTGCAAATGTAGATAGAGCTGTGGTACCCCTCGAGTGCTCGTCAACTAAGGGCTCCAAAGTTGTCACCAGTTCGAATGTGACAGTGACGAGTACTGGTATAAGTGATGTTCTGGCGAGTATGGAGCTTGAAGTTCGGAACTGTGGTACACACTTCCCTTGACGTTAAGCAATTAGGAGATGAGATGTCAAGTACTGAGATTTGCTGGAATGCTGAGAGCCAGTCCAGACTACTTCGAATCACATGAAACCAAATCCAAGAATCGAACTTGGCAACCTTTTTACCCTCATAAATCCCAAATTGACACTTGGCCATCGCAATTTTTGGGACTGTCTGGCCACGCACTTTTTCGAAGTGGCCAAGGCTATTTGTCCAACGTTTTTGCCAAGTTTCGTGAATCCCCAACTCTAACCACGCGATGAAAGGAAAAATCGAGTCAAACCAGAACATTGGCACGTATCTCTATGGCGCAACGTACACATCGTTCATGTGTTATCCATGATGTCGGAGAGGCAAGCAACAATGAGATATATAGATAGATTAATGTAAGATAGAGATAGCCAGTCATTTACTTTATTGGTGCATGTAGTTCTTTATAGATCGCCAGCTATTGTTGATTTTTCTCCTCTCCACAACAACAGCAGTCAGTCAGTTTCCATTCAAATCGGTCACCATGGCCAACAGAGTGGAAGTCCTCGCTCAACAAGCAATGAGCTCTAGTGATGATGATGATGACTGTATTGGAAGTGGGACCATGAAAGGACCAGTGGCAGCGCCACCACCACCTCCACCACCAGTAGAAGGCCAGAAAACGTCGCAGGTTGTTGTTGCTCACAAAAGCGCAAATCAGGTGTATCTTGATTTGAAGAACCACAAAGGAGTCCTGCTCATGCTCTGCTTGGGTCTGAAATCAGCGGACGGTACTCGCGATCTGGGTGATTTGTCTGTAGAGCCTTACTGCAGTCTGCACAAACGGGTCGCCCCCAACTTCAAAGTGAATAATCCAACCATGGCTGATGAGGTGATTCGCCGCTTCCACGATCTTGGATTGAAGAAGATCCCGAAGCCCAAGAACTGGAAGGCACAGGCTCTTAAGAAGTGGTTGATTGACAATCCCATTGCAGACGAAACCGACATCGCTTGGCTGATGAAGCAGGAAGAGGCCTTGTTCAATGCTGTCAAGAATCAGATGAATGAATCGGACAAGCAAAAAGAAGCTGACGCGAAGACCACCAATTCTCCTTGGAAGAAGAAGGATGACTATTTGCGCATGTACATTGCTGCTATGCATGACAAAGTGCGCACAGCACTGCTTAAATCTGGATTCACTTTGACAAGGATGGAACTTGATGCTCGCAACAACGAAGCGCGTCCTGATCTTTTCTTCGCCGCTCTTACTGATTTGTACAATGACGACGATTTCATTGCAAAGGTGGAAGCACTCCCTGATCTACACGAAGATTTCCAGTTGGAGTATGAGATCAACACTCTCGATGTGCCTGCACCTGCCAGCGAAGACCACATCAAAAGGAAGTGGAACGATTGCAAGGCAAAGCTTGCCAAGATTGTATCGCGTTTTGAGAGAAGCGGTACTGGTGATGGCCACATGGCCGAGCAAGATAATGAGTTGGCTGAGGGCGAAACAGAGTTGCGAAGCGGCCAAAGATCGAGTTATATCCATGATCATCTTGGAGAACAGCCGCATTTATTGTATCTTTGGCATCTTGCCGACAAGTACGACGTACTCAATCATGTCATTGTACGTCTTTCTGAAGATGTCGCGGCTACAGGAGATGAAGTTGCCACAGATACTGCCAAGACACAGCGTAAAAGAAAGGGCAACTCTGCTGGGGAAGATGATTCAGCAACTGAGTTTCGCCGTGACATTTCGATGGCTCAGAAGGAACAGGCCTATCAGACCATGGTGGAATCTTATCAGCGAGCCAATGAAAAGCTACTTGATTACAAGTTGGATTATGCTAGAGTGGAACGGAGTGGGTATTCTATGGAAGCGCAGTTGTACCAGGAACAGATCAAAGTGCAAGAGGAGATAGCAGCCGATCTGAAGAAGCGCATTTCTGACTGGAACAAGAAACCAAAGGCGCAACAAAAGAAATAATGGTAAGTTGCTTTCAAGTCTTCTTCCATCCAACTGGCAATGGTCGCTTATATCCTCCTTCTTTGATCAATGCATGAAGTCGCTCCTGTGGCAACGTTCCTTGTTTTTCATGTCTTCTTGTTTCCTGCCTTCTATGATTGCGGCAGACGTCATCAAAGTGGTCACCTCCATGAAGCAGCTGTTCCGGTGATCTATTGTTAAAGTCTCCTTCTTCCAAAGGAACCCCTCCATTTATTTCCACCTCGAATGTGTCCTGTTCAAGCATTAGCGGTATATCCTCCTCCTCATGATCTCTCTCCGTACTGTGGATGACTTCCCTTCCAAGTCGCCTATCGATGCAGTAATTGTGAAGTCGGCACATGCAAATGGTAAGTGCTGTTGCTTTCTTCAGCCCCATGCTTGCAGGTAGCGCTCTTCTCAATATCCCCCATCTGTTGACTAGCATTCCAAAACAACACTCAATCCTGATTCTAACCTGAGAATGATAAAAATTGTAATCATCCTTGCTTCCAGCAGAGACTCCCTTGTAAGGCGTTGCCATGTAAGTGGTGTTGACATAGGCATTGTCGCCGAAGAGACACAAACCTGGCGCTAACAGTTTCTCTTCTAGCTTGAAATACAGTGGGCTGGTGGCGAATGCAAGGTAATCAGATGTTGAAGTGGGATGGTGAATAGAGACATCCAAGAACCGTCCTTCATGATCGCAAACTCCTTGTAAGTTAAGCCCAAACTTCTTCTTTCTTCCACAAAAGAACTTTATTGGTTGGCACTTCGCCTTCTCACAGTCTTCTGCCCTTGGCTTTTCTGTCCAAAGAAGCATCCCATCAATCGCCCCAGCACAACAGGAGAATCCTGGTTGGCTCTTGCTCTTGAAGCCTCTTGCAATTGCTCGCTGTCGTAAATGGTCTTTGGGGTATGATATGGCGAATTCAACCATGTTCTTGTTTCTGTTGACAGCATCCACCACCATCCAAATGCAATCGTAACAGCTAGAGTGACTTATGCCGTGCATGGAACCTATGTCATAGACGGATCCACCAGCGAAATACCTCAACGCAACACTTAATCGAATTGGTGTGGAGATGATGCCATTGACTGCTCCATTCTTCCAAGTCTTCTTGGCATTATCCGATTGCAGATTACCTTTCAGGTAAGGCTTAAGCAAGCGATGAAGTTCCCAGAAATCAGCTTCGGTCATACGAAATGCGCGTCTAACATAAGTGGATCCCATCTCTCTAAAGATCCGGTGAACCAATCTTCTTTTACGTCTTATAGGAGGAGTGTCATGTCTACCTGGTCCATCAGCGAACCCAAAGAGCATTGGATCAGCTTCCAACAGAACAGCAGTAAAACCAATCATCATCTTCAATCGCATCTTCATACGGAAGAAACGAGATCGGTGAGGATCGCAAAGCTGCATCTTCTTCCGGTGGTTCGAAGCCATGATTCCCTGCACGAGAAGAAGGAAAAGAAGAAAAGGAAAGAAGATCATGGTGACGTTGTCTTTGGTTGACGATCTATCTATTTTACGTATCGACAACAACAGAGGTAAGCAACTCTTGTGACCTTTCGACGATTTACGTTCAACTCCCATGGACTAACTTGGCATTTGTGTATTCGATTTTTGGCCTCATCGATTTTTGTAGTGTGGATTGGGTAGAGGATATGAACCTATAAACCTGAGTTTGAATGCACGATTCGAATCTTGTTCTTTGATTCCTCGATCACCAAATCTGTAGTGTGGACTGGCTCTGAGATAGCTGCTGAGATACTGGAGACTGACTCAACTCTCAGATCTGCATCAGAGCTAAGATACCCAGTGAGTACTCTCTCCTGGGCTCATACGAGATTGAGAGATGATACAACAAAATGCCTTTTATTTTAAAAAACAAGTGCCAAAAGTCAAAAAATTGACTCTGGCGGGTGATAAACTGGCTCTTTCCTCTCTTCACCTTAGGGTGTGCTGAGCAAGGTGGGAAGCAGAGTATAAATGTCCCATACACTCTCTTCCTTATCAGATTATTAAGATACTACAATACTCTGGTGATGGATCCTGAGCAAAGATATAAGTTCAGTAAGAATATCTGTCTACTGTGTACCCCACCACTGGACTAGTTCACTTTCGAAATCTGCAGAGCTGCCACATGTTAAAAGCAGGTTTGTTCTTGGCTTCCCATGCAAAATCGTGGCAAAATCATCTCTGTTGCCCTGGGAAGACAACTATGATGAACTCAACCAATATAGCACCTACACACCCAAGATAACTATCTAGAGCTGTCTACATTCCTTGCTTGTTACAGCAATGTGCTGGTTGTAGTGGTATAGCCATGTAGCAGGCATTATCTTTATGTCAAACTAAAGGCTTATTGTCAAGGGGAAATGGTAAGAAATTTTCAGCCTACTTTGCCAGCCATTCGTTGCTCCCAGTGGCCAACCAGTTGACAAGCCACTACCACACTGTGACGGGACGTCCAAATTATGCATTCCCTATCTCAAAGTATTGTCAGGTTGACTCTATTGGTCAAACGGCTGGGGGTATCTGTCAGCATGAGAGGATGTGTCCAAAAGTGAGTTTCTTCAAAATGTGAGGCAAATCATGCCATGACTGAACAGTCCAGTGGTGGGGAAAATCCAGTGGTGGGCCACACAGTAGCTGTGGTAATGGTAAGATTCCCCCAATATGGAAGCAAGTTTAGAAATATCTTAATATAAAGGAAAAAGGGTACTCAGTGGTACTATGAAATCTCTACGAAGATCACCTGAAGGAAGTCTCAAAAGTCAATTGACGAACCATGAATAGAATAACTACCAGTAGCTAGTAGATCTACTTTGAAGCCTCCATGAATAAACCACCAGCAGCTGCAGGCCTACTATGTCATAGTACTAGAATAGTACATGTAGTACGGTACCACCGCACTGCACATGTCGCCACATCGCACATTCCAGGCAGCAAAACTCACCTATATCTCAAGAAATTGACATCTATTCTACACAAACAACAATTCAAAGTGACCAGGACCAGCTACTGCCAACATAGGTAGACGCCGATACATATTCTCTATGGCTTTTGCCGCGCATGCGCTCCTGGATTGGCCGGTTTCTGCCCTGCCCAGCGGTTGCGCTATTCTTCCCGGCGAAGTACTCCTTGGTGCCTCGGCACTGTGTCATTCGCTGCTGTCGGACCTACAAGCAGCATAAAGAATCTCGAATTAATACTAGGACATGGGCCTGTCTGGCCAGCTCTCGTTTCATGCATTCATCTCTGTTCTTTGCTGCTGACTATGAAGATGTTGACAATGGCATCGCTAAACTCTCACCAGTGGCCTACGGAGTGGGGGGTCTGCTAGTTGGCTTTGGAACCAAGCTGGGAAGTGGCTGCACCAGCGGCCATGGAATCTGTGGCCTGGCCAGGTTCAGCAAGCGTTCTCTTGCCTCAGTTGTCACCTTCATGTGTGTTGGTATCCTGACAACTTACCTCACCCAGGAATCAACATCACCATTCCCAAATCATGCCTCCTTCTTGCGATCGAGTGACACTGAACTACTACTCTGGCCCAAGCTCGCAGCAGTCGTCATCTTTATCGTCACTCTTGTGGCATTTGCTGTTCCAAGCTTCCATGAATCACCAACCCGATCTGACCTGTCTACACTCTCACAACTCTCTGAAGAACGCTGGCTCTTCAGCTCTTCGGGGGTTTTCTCAATTGACTCTTTGTGAGCCAAAATGGTCTATTCTTCTGACTTGGTTGTTGGTCAGGAGGAGCGCTGGATCCACCTTGATGTTTGTATGGGTGGTGTGTAATAGGTGTCTTTCTTGTCCTACCAGTGCGATTTAATGTTACAGTTTTGAATGCATCCAAGAACAGATGGATCATTTCCAAGCCCATCATGTTATCTGACGAGGGTACCTTCCACATCCCAACCAACGACAGCATTGATGTGCAACTGATAGTTGGTGGTCTATGTTTTGGTCTTGGATGGGGCATCACTGGCCTTTGTCCTGGTCCAGCCATATTCCTGGCTTGCATTGGGGTATCCTGGATCCTTGTGTGCTACTGGCCTGCCTTTCTGATTGGCTCTGTGATTGCATCTCAAATCCAAAGCCGGTGGCCGTCAACATCTGGAGAATCTTGCTGTGACGATTGCCCGCAACGAAAGCTTAGTGAAACAGAGAGGGAAGTCAAGCAGGAAATCAAAGATGAAGAATCAGCTGTATTGACTGCTGAAGACCGTCTTTCATTCGACTCAGTTGGTTCTTTCGGCTGATTGGATGGCTTGGGAAAAGAGAAGGAGAGAGAGGGATCACAGGGGATGCCGCAAAGAAACCTACTTGCTGGTTTTCCTGTGCGTTCTTGGGCGCACACCTTGACCTAACCAGGGAGACACTGCTACGAGCTCGAAGGAACCGCATCGGCCCTCCTTGAAAGAATGTCCAAGAAGACAAGTATCGAATCACTTATGGGTGCTACGTGGTCCAAGGGAACCTCATCGGCCCTCCTTGACAAAATGCTCAAGCAAAGACAAGTCTCGTTGCACTTACGTGGTCGAGATACATTGGCCCTTCTTGACAGAAATCCCAAGCAAAGACAAGCATCATAGCCATTATGCACGGGCGACAGAAAAAGAAACTAACAGTAAGAATACTTTAGATATGATACACAGTATACCCAAGAAATCGCCGTTTGGGTTGCTTCTCAATTCATGCCTGCAACCACCAATGACGCCTTTTGAGTCTTCCGCAACCAATGATACCGCTGCACTCGTCGGCAAAGGTTCGACCGGCCTCTGGTGGATTGACGTACATTTGGAGTGCCGCTTCGGTAGGAAAGGAGGAATCAGAGAAGATGATTCTGAGTTCCCTCGACGGCATATCTATTACCGCGGCAAGACCACAGAACACGGAGCAGGCATTTGGAGACGTCTACCTTCGCAGGAAACAATGGCAAAACGGAGATGACAAGAGTCTACAAACGGGTACAGTACAGCATCGTTTGCTTTTATTTTATTTCTTCATTCGTTTGTATACCTTTTTGATCAAATGCTGAAAGACCTCTTTTGGCATTTCCTGTACTTTATCAACAGAATTTGAATTTGTTCATAACTTTCTTCTTGATACTTCAAAAGACCTTGTCGAGTGCCAAGTCTCGATAGACTTGCTTGACCAATTCGGTGCTTTCTTCGTCATTGGCATTTCCATAATTCTCTTTTAATATTCGTTTTTGTTCTTTGGATGCATTTTGCAAGGCTTGCACAATGAGCCATGTGCATTTCTTGTCTTGAATATCCGACCCCATTTCCCCCCCGCGTCGGGGATCGCCATAACAGTCCAGTACATCGTCCTGTACCTGAAAGTATTCGCCCATGGTTCCACAAATTTCCTTGGCCACTCTGTAGCTGCCTTCATCTGTAATTCCCGCCAAACTCATGGCCAAGGCAATGGGCAAATAAAAGCTGTAGAATGCCGTCTTGTATCGAACTATCAAGCGGTATCGTTCTGGCGTAAAGTGTGACAGAGGGTCGTCGCCCTCCTTATTAGGTTCTTGACTTTGTAGATCGAGCAATTGCCCCAATTCGGTTTTTTGAATGACATCGAGTAGTAATTCCAGTATCTGGGTGTAACAAGTCATATGGGAGAAATGTTGTTTGACAATGGTAAAGAGGAAGGATTCCAACAAAAAGGCATCATTAATCGCCGCCATCTGTACATCATCGACTTGATACCAACAGGGTTGTCCTCTTCGACTGTCGGATTCGTCCATGACATCATCCGCGACCAGAAAAAAGGCTTGAAGCAATTCAATGGTCCATCCCAATGTAGCCGCTTGGGCAATTTCCAGAGGCGTCAATGCTCGTTTGAGAATGGCCCGATACGTGGCCACGACGGTGGTGCCTCGATTGTATTTTCCTCCTTGAATGGTATAGTCCATCATGCGTGTCAAATAGTCCTGGACGTGCCGATCGGCGAGTTCATTGTCTTGTTTCATCACGGTCAAAATGGAGTCTCGTAGCCACGGATAGAGACAGGCAAACTTGTTGCGATCCGATAGAGCTTGATTCATGTCGTGGAACGGATAGGCAATGGACTTTTTCTTCTTGGATTGTTGTCGATGTTGTTGTTCATTTCCCTTGCTACCGCTGCTACTGTCCGTTGTAGTACCAGTAACGTTCATCAAAATGCCCATCCACGCCAACATGAGAGCGAACAACAGCGCCAAAAGGGCCACTTGTTCTTGCAGAGAAAGTTCTTGAAAGAAGAATCCAACAAAGCCATCGAACCGTTCCCAGAGTGCGGCCATGGCGACACCGGCAATTCCCACAGAGACCCCCACTAGTAGCAACATGGTTTCATACGGTAGGATGCTGTGTCGATAGAATGGAGTGTCGGGATGAAGCAGTGAAGAAGAATGAAGAAGGGCTCGCACAGAAAACCTGGCCTTTCGAGCTTTCGAAGATCTCTCCCGAAAATAACAAAGATCGCGAGAAGCCTTCAGTCATGTGACCAGTGAAAAGATGATTATGGTTACGTTAAGGTTAAGGTTTCAACGGCTCTCTGTATCTTTGGACGTCGACCGCTGATGCGACGTCTCGAGGACCGCCAAAATGGCGCTTTGCGGCAAACCCTTTTGCAAGCTCGACTAGCTAGACTTACCAGGTACATTCCGCAAACATAGCTTGTCTAGTAAAGCTACGGTAGATTATAATCTTTCATTAGTGCACAACAAGACGCGAACAGATATTCTAGTTGTGGGAGCTGTGTGCTGTACTACTTCTAGCTAGGACATTATAGGACAGTCAAACAATGGACAACAATTACCGCCGCCTCCACCGCCATCAGGAGCTCACTAGTAGTGTACCAACTCGAATCGAGGACTACTACCCTGACATCCTCCTCCTGGACCACCGCCTCCTCATCCACACGTCTCTGGGCGAGATGCCCCAGCTCCAGCGCTCCTTCTCGGGCAACTATATGATCAGCAAACTCTTATCCTCTGCCTCTTGGACAGCAAATTGAACATCTTGATGCCTTCCAACAACACTCAGTACCACCTCCCCCACCCACTCCTCCGCCACCACCGCCAAGGCATCTGTCAATTCAACTATTCTACTCCTACTACGAAAGCAACACCACCAACCACCACCAGTCTTTGCCCCTCCCCCCGTATGTCAGGGATTGCAATAAGTCCAAACAACACCAACAGTAGTGTCACGACGGCCAGTGAATCCGCATCCATCACAAGCAACAGTAGCAGCAGTCAGCACTATTATAACCCACGTCCCAAAGAAGAACCACCGTCGATTCCCTTGACGGCATTTTGTCCTTCCAAAATCAACTATCTGGCACATCGACAATGCAGCATTCCCGTACTAGTACTGGGAACCGAATCCGCACACAAATTGGCATGGAAGAATCAACTACGACTCGTCGACTTACTAGAAGGACTCGCACGGACGTTACCAGAGTACAGCACCAGACAAATCCCACCCTTTCGATCCATTTTCAAATCACTCTCGCTCTCGTGGAAAGATGTACCTCTCACATTTGTCACGCCCGAACAATTGGCACAACCCATGAATTACGAAACGGCACAAGAAATTCTCCAACAACAAGCACAGTTGCAACAAGCGGACGGGAATCTCACGGACGAACTCAACTTGTTGGAAGATCAGGTCGATACACTCTTGCAGGATGCCCCCAATCAAAATTGCTATGATTACATGTCCGACTACGAAGAACGAGTCAAACAACAAAAACAAGTCGTCAAGGATGCCTACGCACTCACGTCGCCGCTCAACATTCCATGGTTGTTGCGGTATCGACATGCCATTGATGCCAGTACTGATCAAATGCCACATGACCTCATTGCTTGTCCACCCATTTGTTTACTGATTTGTACCACACAAGAAGTCAATCCGTTGGTGGATTGTTTGCGAGAATTGGGATCGCGACACTACCTCCCACCCTGCTTTTCCAATGGATTGTACGATCCCAAAGCCATGCGACAAGAAGCATTGGTATTGCACGATACGGTAGACGGACCTCGAGACTGGGATGAAGCTGGATTGCGATCCAGTTTGCAACGGCATTTTGGACCCAACGCCAGTATAGTCCGAATCAATGGGATTCTGCCACAAACGGCCATGCAACTCAGTCGAGAGGAAACTACCGATGAATGGGGTGGGGCGGGACAATGTGGAAACTGTTTGTCGCATTCCGATCGTGTCGTGCTCCGACAGTATTTGGAAGGTCTGACCACTTCCAGTATCTTACCGGCGTTGGAGCGGCGGTTGTCCGATCTAAATGTTATTGTCAGTGATCGAAAAAAGGGTGTCAAGAACGTTTTCAAAAGTTTTTGGAGAAAACCCAAAGAAGCCAATCCGGAAGAATCCATTAGCAAACAAAAAAGTGAAGTCACGTACCGATACGACACTATTGAAAGTCAAACGCGGCTCCTCGCAGATACACTCTTTCTGGTCAAAGATTATGATGCTGCGCTGGGGATGTACCGTCTGATTCGAGATGATTACAAGACGGACAAGTCCATGATGCACTACGCTTCTGTACAGGAAATGATGGCATTGTGCATGTTCTTTGTGGATCCCTACAGTCGGGCCAAAGAAATTGTCAGTCATATCGAAACGGCGCTCCTGGCATACTCCAAAGCTGCCGAAGACGAACGACCGACACCGGCAGGGCAAAACAAGAATCAACGACCCAATACTGCCACACATGCAACGCGGTGTGCGACAAGGCTGTGTCTTTGGTTGTCGTCCACTAACGAAACGATTCTGGGTGGACGTCATTTGGAAGTGGCAGATCTGTTAGCCAGTGCTTCCAGCCATGAAACTTCCTTGGGTGCTGCAGTTTTGCTGGAGCAATCGTCGTCGCAGTATTTTCAAGCCGACCTCTACCGAAAATATGCCTTTCACATGCTCATGAGTGGTCACATGTTTCGAACAGCCCAGCAAGATTCGCATGCCTTTCGATGCTTCACTTCGGCTCTGTATCTGTACCGAGACAAGCCGTGGAATGAATTGCATAATCACCTACGATCTGCTCTAGCAGCGCAACTGTACTCGATGGGACGCATGGCAGTATCTGTTCAACTGTACGCTAGGCTGGTGGGAATTCCTAGTGGAGGAAGTGTGTCGGTGAAGTCACAACAAAAGTTTGTCAACAATCTATTGTTTATCTGCAACGAACATCCAAAGAAAGCCTTGGTGGGAGCCGATCGAATGGCGGCTCCTGCCGAGTTATCGAATAGAGAACGAGATCGATATCGACAAGATCGTTTGGATCGCATTGTGGAAGTCATCGAGTACACCCAAGGAGCGCAAAGAATACTGGAGCTCCCGAGGGTGCGATTGCCGACTGTTGTGGACGAGTCACTTCTGGTGGATACTCCAGAGGACAGGACTGGTCCGTCGGATTGCCCGTCATCACTTGGCGTGGTTGAGAAAGGGTGCGATGACACATGGCAAGAGCTTCAAATTATGACTGTTGCCGAGTTGAGGGCGGCTGACGCATCCAAAGGTGATAACCCAGATGACGAGGTCACCACCAAGGCCTTGGCCAAGATTGATGACAACGATATTCGAAGTGTCATCGCGCAAATCGATAAAGAAAAGCAAGCACGCCATCTACAGGAACGAAATAAACGATCCAGTAGCTACAAAGGAGAAGTGCCACCAGTTAGAGCACGGGGGGAACCTATTCGAGTTCGCTTCACCCTTTCCAATCCATTGAGCATTCCTGTCGATATGGCTGACATTCAGCTAGTTGCACAGATGACAAATGCTGAGGGGCGCATCTTCACAAACATTGAAGCCATTCGGATCACATCCACTCGAACCGACAAGCAGACCTGGACATTTGCAAGCTCCGACCAACAATTTCAGGTTCCAGAATTTGCTAGGTTATCGCCGAAGAGTGGCGGCGGGAGCAGGGCATGGACACCAGGAGACAATGTTGAAGTACCCTACTTTGTCGTTAGCAAAGCCAATATAAGCTTGGATGCGCAAGGGGCGACGTCCATTTCCTTGGGAATCTGTCCTCTGATACAAGGGGACCTAGAGGTGTTGGGCGTTAGGAGCCGTCTATTGGACGACGTATGGACATACCACCCATTCAGTATCAAGGGACCGCGGCTCCATAACACGCGGGAAAACAGAACAAAGCGAGGTAAGTCGATAATTGCGGATTTATGACCTGGCGACATGGAGGGACGCGTCTGATAAGCCAACGTGTTTTGCTCCCTCAGCGAGAGCCGAACCAGTTTTGCTTCGGTCGACGGTGAAGCAGGACATGCCGTGCTTGACGGCAACTCTTCTCAAGTCTCAGACCGAAGGTTCTGATGATCCTCTCATTCAGGGGCAGAAAGAATCGTGGACTCTTCGGCTGTCCAACATCGGAACAGCCCCAGCGACGAATGTGTCTCTCAAAACAAATCTACCGTGGATTAATATTGTGAACGATAACGACGAATCCTCTAGCGGAGGAAATGTCACGCTTTCCAAAGTGATGTCTTGGGAGAACCGAGCAAAGTCTTGTTGCGTGGGTCCTACTGGAACCTTGATGACTATCCCTTTGGATGGTTCTCACCTCCGCAAGCGCGGATTTCTGCAACCTGGTGAATCGGTGGATGTTCCCATTCAAATTAGAGCTGGATCCGGAGACGGTCTGCAGGATTTCTACATGCTTTATCGATATGAATTGGACGACCCATCGGTCCCTACCAACAGTAAACCCCAGCGATGGCTGAAAAAGATGTTCAAGATTCCTGTTTATCCTTCCCTGTCAATGAAAGCAACGTTGTTACCGTCTACTTGGAGCAGGCGAGAGCACATACTGTCGCTTGAGGTGAGAGCCGCCTTTTGTTGGTGGTCTGTGTCTGCTCAAAACCAATATTCAGCTACTGATCTCTTTGATTCTCTTTCTCCAGCTCACCAACCATCGAAACGACCGCCCGAATGGCATCAAAGTGAAGCTCGACAAGCTGAGCCTACTCAGCCGCCGTTATCGACTACAGCAAATCCCTGGACAGTTCGCCAATGAAGACTTGGAAGTCGATTGGCGAGAACGTGTCACTGCGCATTATCGCGTAGTTCCGGTGGGTGAAGAGAGCACGGCTTGCCTTCTGAGTGAGTGTGCTTTTGGAGCCGATACGGCTACCATCAGCGAAAGTGCGCTATCTTCTGACGGTGACTACTTGTGCCTGGAGAAGGCAAGCGCAAAATTTGAGGTACGAATACGTTTGGCTCTCTGTCTGTACCGGTATGAAGCTGCCGCCTCACACTGCTGAATTCGTTCTATACCGGTTCAGCGCACATGGAATAAGCATCAAATAGATCTGATGAATGCTCAATCTGTGAAGGACAAGGAAGACCAACACCCACAGTCCATCAGCTCGATTCGCAAGGCCAACGTCGGTGGTGGCGGCCCGAAGCGGAACAAAAGTCGCGAAGGGTTGGATGAAATGGACTTGGATGCTGTTCATCCTACTTCACTCTCAAAGCTATTTCCAGTCGAGAAAAGCTTGAGCAAGCTGGATCTTATCTGCACCTGGTCTGCCGATGTCCTGGCCAACGGCAACGCTAGAGTCTATGGCGAACACCAGCTTCATTCGGTGGTGATAAGACCCGCCACTGAAACATCTCGGTGCCCCATCACCATCTCTGCCACCTATCCATCGGATTGGTCACAAGACTTCGAGAAAGACGGCCCTGCGGTAAGCTTTGCCACCACTGTTATTGCTTGTAGCCTGTGAACGAACGAAAGTCAACTAACCGATGTTGCGTACTCTTGGGATTTTGGCGCAGTACATACCGTTCAAGATTGTGTTTCGGAACCAACTGGTCAAATCGTCAGTCACATTTGACGTGGAAATTGTGAAACCCCAAAACTTCGACTTGATGGGAGTTTGCTTCTTCGAACACACGTTGGGCGGTGGCGAAGAGCTGGAAGTTCCAATGCAAGCCGTGATTGAATCGCCAGGAATCTTCAATCTGCAGTCCATGAAGATCACATTGGATGCTGCGAGCGATGATCCTGCAGCGTACGACTTTGGCGTTCAATGGCTCACCACCGTCAAACCGGCTGGATCTTCTGTCTTCAAACCAGAAGCGAGTGGAACTGCATGGGTGTGAATGCACCATCACTAAGGTTCTGGTACCGGTAGACAATTTTGCTGGGTGTATTCCGCCAGAATGGGCCTTGTGGGTGTACAATGCAGGGCTAATAGCAACAGAGTAGCTGGCCTTGAGCAAAGAGTCTATCTACTTACTTGTAGATAACTAGAGTAGGTTGAATAGCTTAGAACTACCGCACCTGTAGCGCGGTGCTGGTTCAACTGGTTCCGCCAGAAGCAGGTCTTGCTAGTTTGAGCGACGATGATACCGTGACCAGACCTGCGTTGCCGCGGATACTTTGCTGCAGCGAACAGATTGCCAATCTTCAACCGTTCTACCAATGGTACCGGTACCAGGTACTGGTACTGCCGCTGCAGCAGCAACGCAGCCTGATTTGCTTGCGGCAAATGAGTGATCTTGGAATAAGTAAGTGCTACTGGCTAGTTGGGCTATGAGTTGTTTCTAGTGTTGCTGTCCCTTAGCAGCATCAACGCTTGGGAGTTGTGTTGGCTGATATGTGTCGATCTTCGCGGTTGTATTCTTGGTTCAGGCGGCCCCGGAAGTGGTTCTGACAAGCTCCAAGGTGGGGCGGGGTGCGGCCATTTTGATGGCGGCGGCAGCCTTCATGGCAGCGGCCGATATTGACTTTTGGGGTCCATCAGCTCGCTTTTCTCGCAAGCACTGAGACGTCTTCTCGACTGCCCTCTTGTTGGGAGCCACCACATAGTACTTGCCGTCCTTGGCTGGCTCCAAGAAGCGTCCACCAAGTTCATGGATAGTGGCAACAACGGCACGACTTAGCTTGATCTTCTCGTGCTTGGGGAGATCATTGTAGCGTGGTCGGTTGCTGCGGATAAGTTCTCGGAAACGTTCATTGCCAACATGATGGTTGGAGCGTCCGCCACGGCCAAGCAACTGTAGTCGAAATAGCAGTAAAAAGTGAGCAAGTGGGTTGAAAGTATGGGAGAAGTCGTTCCATACTGCCAATCTGAAACTTACCACATCGATATTCGATGGTTCCGTGATACAGTTGCTGTTTTGTTCCTGGATTTGCACTTGTCTCTGATGGAGTTCTTGTTGTTGCTGATACCGAAGCTTTTGCTTTCGCGCCAAGTCCAAGGCGAGGGATGTGCTGGTGGCAACAGTTGCCAACTTATGAAGACGGGAGTCTTGTGCTTGCGTTTCTAGCTGAGCCAATGTCTTGTTCATGAGAGCAGGAGAGAGCTGAGGAGATTGACTGCCACTGTTGTGAAGGTGCGCAAGTGGACTGTAGACGCGACGAGAAGCCGCCAGAGGACTGTATACCCTTCGAGAGGCAGCGAGCGGGATGTTCTGGGGACTGCGGATCTTTAGTTCCTGTTCCAGCAGCAGTCGTTGCGCCCAGCCCATGGGTGCTTGAGTCTTGTTGTCGAACCAGTTTGCCATCTTGATTGTTTTGTGTTTTGTGGTTGTGGTTTTGTGTTTTGTGTTTTGTGTTTTGTGTTTTGTGGTTTTGTGTCTCTGTTGGTTGTTCTTGGTTCGTGAGTTTGTGGTTTGTTGGGATCTTTGTTTTATGTTGCCTTGAAAAGGTGACGGCTGATTTTGTGAGCAACTGGGTCTGAAGTCTCTTGGTCTGATGAAGGTCTTGAGAAGAGTTTCTGTCCGAAACATGGTTCAAGATTCAAGCTAAATCCCACATCCTTAATCAGTAAAGGAAGGGTGGAACACACTGGTTCCTTGACTCCTCTCGCCATGTGTCTTTCCGTGCATTGCTTCAATTAGGTGACTCATGCATGATGGTGTGCACCGTTTTACACAGTAAGTGAAGAGGTCAAAGCGAAAACGCTGCCAGTTATCTACCGTAAAACTTTAATCCCATGCCACACGCGACAAACGCTCACTGCTCACTGGAGAAGCTCCAGCACTATTCCATTTGTTTGGATTAGCTAGACTACACCGGTAGCCTGGTGTCTGCACCAATACATGGCCACACCGCAGGAGCCGATATCCTTGGTAGCAGCGTGCAGCGCAGTATACCGCTGCCTTCTCCTCTCAGAGGTTCCGCTGGTTAGTATCATTCAGATCTAGAAGCACGTAAAATCTAGGGATCAATCAGTTCGGCAACCCATCAGTCTTTCCGTTCTGTCTTGCTGCCTTTACAATTGGCTCCTAAAGACAAGTTACTTTCGCTGTTTGCGTTCATGCAGAGCACGTACCGCTGTTTAGGGCCAAGCACTCTCAAGCACCTCGGTCCCACTTCTTCCTGCTATATCCTGCTATATAGTAGTCGGTCAATCAACATCCCCAAAACCTTGGTTGCCATACTTATAACAGGGCTTGCATGACTGCCATCCTTACATTGGACTGCCATAGCCAAACAACGTCAGCAGAGATCAGGTAGGCTGCTCTATCTCCCCTCGTGAAGGAAGAATCAAATCTGCCGCAGTGGTGCTTGGATCTTCACGGCTTCAGGACTACCTTGGGACCGCACTCTGCAGTCATCAGTTGATGCTCTGTGCTCTGTGATTCAGAGCCATCGTATCACTTCGTAGTGTCTAAAGTACATAGAAATTAAACAGTGATACGGAAAATTTAATGATGAGGCAGCACCCCTACCGGTGGTACCGTACTTCGTACGGGCTATTTCTAGTACGTAGACTGTGCAGCCGACTGCGCCCTGCACCGGCTTTTTACCTCTGGCAGCACTGATTCCTAACTTGCTTGGAGCTTGGAGTACTTAGGATTGTCTTCCCCCTTGTACCGTACTGTACTGGTACTGTACTGTACTCTGGGATATATATAGTAAACAGGTACAACTCTAGCAGCAAAATCCGTACAGCTATCCGTACCGTATACTGTACCGGTACGATACTCAGTACTAACTACATTTATTTTGTAGTGCGAGCGCCTCACCGAAGACTTCGAAGGAGAAAGCGAAATGTCGCTGGCACTTTGCTCAAGTGCGACTGAGAATGGTGATTTATAGCTGAAGGAAGAGTCTGCGGCTAAGAGCTTGGATCTTCACCACTTCAGGATACTTGAAACCTGAAACCACACCCTGCAGTCATCAGTTTGATGCTCTGTGATTCAGAGCCATCAAAGCGCTCTACTATTAGTAGACTTCCCATGCTTTTTACTACCATTCTAAGTTCACGGCTTCAGGATTACCCTGCAGTCATCAATTTCCTGCTCTGTGATTCAACCTCTAGATGATACCGTACAGAAACAGAAATGATGAGGAGGTTGCACACTTTACCCTTACGGCCACTCAAAGCTTTTTACTCTGCCACATCCATTGGATGTCCTCTGGAATCTGGAACCGAGTACAACTCCAGTACAGAATCCGTACCGCTTCGAAGCTTCGAAGGAGAACATCATGATGTAGCTGGCACTTTGTTCAAGTGCGACTCAGAATGGTGTAATTTTTTCAACCATGGACGGAATGGGTTTCAATTTCTTCACAGGGTACAAATGCCTATAGTCATAATTCTAGCATAGTCCTCCCATAGTCATAATTCAGTCATAGTGCCCTAATCGTAGTTCTAGGCTGCTTGGTGGGTAAGCAGGTGATTTAATACTTGTTTTTAAAGACCGCTTTAGTACTTAAAGGTCTGACGCACTGCCCGAACTCGAATGATTGGAAGTGTCTCCTGTAAGAATTGTTGGTTTGTCGGTTCAAGTTCTTTCTGATGCGGCACTTTTGCCTTGCAAAGATGATAATGATAAGATATTAATAGATGGGCTGTAGATGATGGTTCAGAGCTGTTTCAGTCGCCGGGTCCTGGAGCTTTACAGAGACACAAAGACAGCGATCGTTCCTCTCGCTGTTTTCTGCATACCGGTACGATACTGTACCGTACACTAGTACAGAATTGGTACGGAAATGGGGCAAAGCACCTCCTCTTGTTCGATGTAGCTCTGCCCTGGACTGCTTCCCGCTTCCCGATACCGGTACCCCAACACGGCTTCTAGGTTTCATCTGGGTTCATTCGGACCATGGCACGAAATAGTCCTCCCTCCGTCACATGTTTGGATGCTCTGATGCTCCTTGCTTCTGCCGGTGATCAAACCTCAGTGCTCCTTCTGCTGCTAGTTTCAGGGATATCTTCTATTGACGAGACAGCTAGGAGACACTACATGTACTTTCTTAACGCAAATTCTTCGTTTTAAGATGATTATCCTATCCTTGAAGCAAAGAAAGCGCAGACTAGGTGTCAACGCTTCATGGCACTCATTGGCTGCATTCTAAAAGAAGCCACCCACAACAATTCCCTCTATGACATTTGTAGAGTGCCATCGAAATGCCGCTTCTGATGACGAGCCTGTGTCTTTAATCATAATATCTGACCCTTGATCTGACCTGCTTTCCGCTTGTACGGGCGACTTGGTGTCACCAAATCATTCAAGAATATGCGGTGGGTCGAGAGCTGGGGGGGCTGAAGCGTTGAACGAGGGGGTTGCCGAAGGACTGGTATTGGGGATCGAGGTGGTAAAAACTTGTAGATGGTATGGCACTTGGTGCTGGGCTCACAGAGGGTCTTGTACTTGGTGCTGCACCGCGAGAGGGACTAGAACTCGGAGCTTCTATTCCGGTATCGGTATCACTTCCCGGGGTGCATCATCCAGCGACCATGGCAAAGCCAAAGCCAATGCCTCATTCGTGCGGTCTAGTAGATCTGACTCATCTTTTCGTCCGTTAGTCTGTCCACGGGTCGTCACTCAGTCGCCGCCGACCGCTGAGAAACAAAAGCCAACAGGCGACAGCACTCTTCCACTTCCCATTTTAGTGCACAACACATCAGCTGCCCACCCTACCAGTACCGTGGGATCCAGAGAAGCAGTGCAAGATAAGATAACAATAACGATGGGATCACTAAGCAAGTTACCACCAGAAGTAGCAAGGGAATTGCGGAGGCACGTTTCTCCGCGACCTCTCAAGCAAATGGCCCAGAAGCAAAAGTTGGCGTTGCAGAAAGAACAAGAACAGCAGAGAAAAGGCAGCGGTTGGGTCTTGGCAGGATGTGTCGTCTTTACGGGGGCCGCTTTCTCGATTCCCTTTGCGGCACAACAGTGGATTGGCAATCTCAATGCTCGCGATGAGCCCTTGACACATGCACAAGTGCGACGAGGTGCCTTTATGAACTCTGGGTCCGTCGATGCCGGCAAGGATCCACAGTGGGATTTCCGCAAGGGACAGTACAAGAAAGACGACAACTACTGGGCCATTTTCGACAACAATGCAGCAGCGCAAACCTTTGGTGCCATTGTGTCGGCCACTGGAAAAGACGAACAAGATAAAAGCAAAGAAGAGCCGCCAAAGAAGCAATAATCAGACGGAGATGAGATGATGAGAACTCCAAGTGCAATCGACAAAACCAAACCCCAATATTGACTAAGCAGTCACATCATCCAAAATGATGCAGATGCTAGCAAGGCGGGCCCTGGATTGGGGCACGCATAAATTATGCAATAGAAAGAAAATGAAAACCAACACCCACCTACCAGGAGTCTATGCGAACAATAAACGGGCACGAAGGAATCAACCAAGATTTTCGTCCACACAACCATTTTATAGATAGTCAATGCTTGTCTGGTGATGATAATTGTAGTCGACTGGGGGGCGAGATGACTGGGGACGAGACGACGGACCAAACTCTGGCAGAATCGTCTTGCGGTTTCTCTATTAGTAGTACTGCAGGTTCTTCATTTGGTCGGTGGGTCTAGCGGTACACCTCTTGGCATTGATATTGGCCCGTCGGGGTGATAGTATGCTTCATTGTAACCGTACGAGCCAGCTTTGGACCGTGATATCGCCACGAAAATCTAGCCATTAATAGCTGGTGGGTCTGAAGGGTAAAGATCAATGAAACCTAGTTGACCCCAGTCGAGCGGCTGGGTAGTTGTTTGTGTGAAATACAATCGCTTATCCCTTCTTCTTGTACAACTTTTCCCTTTCTTGCAAATGTTCATCTTCATCCAGTACAAGTTCTTCTACCTGCTTTGCCACCATGGTCACACAGTCCGGATCCACCGAGGTAGACCCCACGTCTCCTTGGTGCAAAATCCAAGCACAGGCACTCTTGTAGAACTCCAAATACTCGGATACCAAATCCAAAAAGGAAATCTCATTTCGTTTGCGAGCCTCGTAGCATTGCAACCAACTGTGAATGCATCGAATGGATTGGTTTTGTAAAGTGCGGCAGAGTGACAAGATTTCAGGGGCAACATCATCCCGCCCCTGACATTGCTCAATCATGGCGCTGGCATAGAAGATTTCCACAACTACTCCCATGGCGGAACAGCTGATATCAACTCCCTTGGGCTTGGAATCGTCTGCTCCATTGTTGTCCGCCTTTTGCTGTAGCATTGTTGTAGTAGTAGCAATGATTATTGGAAACTGCGTGCGCAACAAGTGCCGTCCATTCTTGTCTTGAACAAGACCGGACAACCATGGGATCCATTCTTGCCATGCCGCCACGACAACCTCCGACGGCGACTCACTGTTGTTGTTTGGTTCTTGGCTCAGATCCAGCAAAAACGGCAAAAGGCTTCCTTCAAGAATATCACAGGCATTGGCCACTACCGCTTTTCTCCATTGATGAACGAAATCGTTCTGCGTGGTGGCAGTTTCGTCGTCGCTGGTCGGCAGCAGTCGTTGAATTTGACGGCAGACTTCACAAAGCATGGGATCCAGTTCTTTCAAGGGCAGACTAGTTGGAACTAGTCGTGCACATTGAGTAGTCTTCTTGTCGTCGTCGCCGTCCACCGGTTCCATTTCCTCGTCGATGGCAGGTATCAGTCGAGGCAATGGATCGTAGCCACGTACTTGGTCCGTCATTGGACGATGAGCTTGCAAACGGGCCACAATGCCGGTCATGGCAGGCTCTAGAACGGCTACAGATGGTTGATGGGTTTGTCCATCACAGTGGGCCAAAAGCCGGGCCAGGATTCCCAGAGACACCTTGTTGTCGTTGGAAGCAATGGATTCGGAGAGCTTTGTCACCAGTTGACAAGCCAACAGCTGTTGCTTGGGGCTGAATGACTTGTGGTGTTGCCGTGGGCCTCTTGCACTAGAGGACATCAAACCTAGCGGTTGTTTGAGTTGGAGTGCAATGGCCTGTAGACGTGCCTGTTGCCGATTGTTGTGGGATGCGAACCGAATGGTGGATCCTGTTTTTGCCAAAACGTTGTTGTTGTCCATATTTTCATCTGGCTCTTCTTCCTGGAAGATTTTCCAACCCGCAGCTTCCACCAATGCGTTGCAACCCTGTGGACTCCAGAGCAGTGCTTTCTCTAGAACAGCCAGAGCTTGATGATTGGAACAATCTACACTTTGTTGGACGAGATTCCAAATCAGGGTGACATCGTCTTGTGGTGGACTGTGCGAAGAATTACTGGATGCGTCACTGATGGCATATGATAGCAAAGCATGTACTTGATGGCTTTCGGGTAGCAACTCCAGAAGCAATTTTTGGGCCAAAATGGAGGAATAGCTTGTAGCAGTAGTGGTATGTGCTTTCGGATCAGCGTCCACCATGGGATGATCATTGTTGGACCGACTGACTGCTGGTTTTGGTGACGAAGCACTGCATGTCAGTGTTTCTGGTTTTGAATTGTTGTGTTCCAAGCGTGATGATGCTCTCGGGTCCAACGGTGAACTAATATTATTTTGTCGCAGTGGAGATTGTTGGGCATTGGTCTTTGTCGTAGCAAGCTGCTGTTGTTGTTGCTGCTGTTGTTGTTTCTTCAAGGCGGCTCTGGCTCGATTGGCATCTTGCTGAGTCCGTCTCAATTTTTCTTCTAGCTTGGCAATTTGCTGTTTGCTTTCTTTTTCGGCCAGTTCCATTTTATCGTTGGTTTCCACTTGCACGGCCGCCAGACTGGCAGAGAGATCAAAATTATCTTCATTTTTCTCTTCCAATTGTCGTCTTAGGTCCGCAATCAGGGCTTGCTGCTGCTGATCCAACTGTGGCTGTTGTGGTGGTGGTGGTTGTTGTTGTGGTGGTGCTTGTGGTGGAGGGGCATTTTGGGGTTGCTGCTGTGATAGCTGTGATGCTTGTGGATGGTATATGGATGCTGGCTGCAACCGAGATCCTCCATTGTTGGTGCTGTTGTTGTTGTTAGCATTGTTAGCATTGCTGTTGTAGGAGAATCGACGGTACCCATTCGAGGATGACTGACTTGCATAGGGGTTGTTGTGTGCCATAGCTGCATGTGGATCTACCCAAAACACTCCCAAGATGGAGAACAGGAAAAGATCCGTGCGTAGTAAGTAACGCCACTACAGTCCCTCACTCTAGATGTCGGCGACACTAAAGCATCAGCTCTGAGAGACTTGATACAGTATCTTGACTGTAGACTATTATCCTGCGCCCGACGCAGTGCTCTATCTTTGGAAGGGAGGCTGAGACGCTGAGACCTTGTTGGTTTTGTAGTGTACGGTATCGGTTGACGAGTGCCAATGGCCAATGCGTCGTCCGTCCGTGCAGCACATGATGTTCGGAATGGTATTGCATTATTATTGCTATTTGAGCTTGTGCTTCCGAGCTAGCTAGTAGTAGACTAGCTACTAGCTAGTAAACTATACTTGACTCTCGGACGAGCGCGTTCGCTTCTTGTTGGATGCAAAGGCCTTCGTACTCATACAGTGCATTCGTACATTCTTTTCCGGACAGCAAGCCATTGATTAACAGCTAGTAGACGACAGAGTGCTTGTCGGTCAAGTTGCAGCATTGTTAAGATACCGTAGCTGGAAGTGGTTGCATCGATCTCAAGTCAGTCGAACTACTGGACCGAGACCATCCACCTCCAAACCTAAGTGCAGTCTTGCCATCATTGATTTCAATTACCATACCACGGTACCACGGTCTCCTGATCTCTCGCTGAGGTAGTGGTCTGATTGTCTGGCTCCATTCGAGTTGATCTAAAGGATTAGTCAGCTAAGGAACGACATCTTGGTGGCAGACGCAACCCTCCTGCAAAACACAACGAAACGTTGTGGTTCATATACCCCTGTTCGAAGCGCCTTTACTCTCAAGGTCTTACACGGCATTGCCTCTACTGTCATTTCCTCGCGGACAATCTATCACAAAGACAAGCAGACAGAATAATGGGTAGCACTCAGCCTGCGGACGAATCCACGCCAAAAATGGTCGACACCGAACTCCACCACGAGGAGGGAACGGCTGGGGAAAGCACTTCCGTTTGGAACCAACCAATAAGTCACGAAGCAACAGCAGCAGCAGCAGCGTCCTCGGATGTAGGTCTCCAAGAAATGGACGACTTCATTGCAACATATGGATTCGAAGACGACGACAATAATAATGACGGCCACCATAGCGACTCGTTTGTCGACGATTATCTGCGAGAACAGTCCAATGCCATGGCCGAAGAGATTCAACGTCAACTAGACGAACAAATCCAACAGGCATTGCAGGAACAAATAGATCAACAAATGGAAGACTACTTGCAGCGAGAAGAACAAGAAGAAATCATGCACGCCGATTGTTGGGAGCCTCCAACCTACAATGACAGTACGGATCCAAACTTGAGCTTTTTGAGTGACCGTCTGGCCAAGGCGGTGCGGCTGGAGGCCGCTGTCCCAACGGTGGCAGAAATCAATGCCGATATTCAGAAAATTGTAGATCGATATCGAACCAAAACGGAAGCGGAGGCTACAAATGGTCACGAAGGTCTCCAGAAGGGTTCAAAACGGTTACTATCTTCATAGACGAATGAATGCCAGCCAATTGCGGACTCCATCTGCTCATTTATTGGAGAAGCATTGTAGGATTCAAGGTAGAACGTACGATATGATAATATAGCTTGAGAGACCGCCTTACTTCAATGATGGAAGTCGTCGACTGTCAAAAGATCAGAAGCGAAGTTGTATTTTATTAGGTTTCTCTCAGAGCTACGACTTACGATGGCTTATTCAGGATCTTTTGGAAGGCGTTGAGTGTGGGGCCAGCTAAGTTAGCCTTGTTAGCAAAGATGCATTGACTTCTCTTCGTGAAATAGAAACCAAAGCTCGAAAACCCCACCAGCTAAGGATTTCAGCGATTGGAAGGCAGCCCAAAACCGGCAGATTGCTTGCTAAAACTTACGAGACAACACTCGGGTCGACGGGCAGCTGGTGGCACTCGGATGATGGTGGCGGTGATAGAAGGTACCAGGTATGGTACTGGTACCGTACAGTAAGCACTGGCCAGAATTAAGCTACGGTAGGATTCGATCATCATGAATGGAGGCGGTGCAAGAAGTGGGGAAAAATCTAAATGCTCATTGAACAACTTTTGCTGCGCTTGTCGTTACTCAGGCGACGATCAGGACTGGATGCAACTCTGGAAGGATGCTGCCTTTACCTAGTACATGTACTACCGGTACGTAATTAAGCTCTCCAGCCGATATCGTAGCGCTTTGAACCAATTGCTTGAAGCACCCGCTAGCCTTCATTTCTGCGACCAGCCGAGAAGGTACTTTGCCAGTTTGAGGAACCCAAACCGACGAAATTTAAACGCTTTGTTTCCATAGTGCGTGTTTCTAGTTAAGTTTTATGTAATATAGCCATCGCTCAGTGAATGCAGCCTAGATTCCACG